ATATGACTACAATAGTGATTTTCTTTATACAAATTTCCCTTTGTCCTGTAGCCTGCTCGAGCTCAAGCTCACTTCAGCAACCTCATTATTGGCTGATGGTAAAATGTGTTAAAACATTGGTCAACTGTAATCATTTGCCAAGCTACTTGATATTACCTGGTATAATCTAAGACTTCTTATCTTATCTCTATAGAGTGTAAATACTCAAAAAATTGGGTAAACTATATTTCGAATAAGAAGCCAGAGAATAAGAAGCCAACTTCAGCTTCATCCTTTCCACAATGTTCCATAAAAATATTGTTTATGTTTGGCTATATATTATGTTGGCATATCAAAAGGCCTGGTAATCAAATAAACTCAAACTCTTTGCTGTATTACACAAACATCCATCAAAGTTTGTCCTTCAAGCCCATTGCGATAAAAAAAAAGGCAAAGCATTTTAAATCTTGGGGTCATTAGCCAAAAGTTGACATCGACTCCCATGTTGGAGTCAAAAATGGGCTCTTTTGGAATCAACTCCCTATCACTAGTCACGGAAGACTTTCCTGTTTTGTAGAATCCTTCCAAAGCAGCTGACCGGTGCACTCAAAAGGACTCAAAAGGTGTATCCTTCAAGACCTTCAGCCACAATCCCTCACATACAGTGCAAGACTGCTTGAGAAACAGCTGTGAGTGGCAAGATACTGCAACAGCCGAGTTTGTAATGAAATGTAAAATAGAATTTAATATTTTTAAACGTGTCACATTGCTTACGTCAAGCTGTGATATATCAGCACAGTCTGGTCGGGCTGTCCCGGTTGTGCATGGGTGAGCACTGAAAAGGAGCCTTTGTATGCCAATGCTTTCAAAGGCTTGTCTGACTGATTACGTTTGAGATGAGGGGAAAATTGTGTAAATGCGATGTTTTTGCCAAACCATTCCTTAAATGAGTTGTGGTATTGTGCAGGAGAAAATAATCAGTGTGATAATTTCAGTGTGCAGGAGCGTAGTCTTGTTTGTAGTATGTAGCATAATTTGTATTTTGACCGATAAATGACCTCATAATTCAGAGGATCCACTGACACTCAAGAAAAAATTTTACAAAAATTTATCAGGTTCGGAGCAATTTTTTTTACCACAGGATGTGATGGGACAATATTTTAAAAAACAACATTTATTTCAGTCATAGAGAAAACCAGCTCAGACCTGGTGTTCCTAATATGGGTATGACACCAACTACAGAATGACACACGACTTCAGAGGTCTTGTTTTTATAGAGAAAGGGAAAGTTAGGCCATTGTAGTTCGACTGGACTTCTACAGGCCTCACCTAAAGACTCATTGACCCAAGCACTGCTCATCGTTTGCGTTACAACAAAAATAATCATCAGAAGTAATCTGTGAAGAACGGTTCCTGTATGTTTAGCAGCATGTTTTCTAAAACAGCACTGTATTAAAAGAAAAGAGGAAGTTCATAGCCTTTTGAAAAAACAAAGTGCATCCTGTAAAGTTTCACTTTTGTTTCACTGTACAGATTCAGTCTGCCGTTGACTGAAAAGTGAACAGTTAAGATCTGCATTTGTAGTATTAAAGTGCCAGTAGATGATTTTATTGTAGTAAATCAAATAGCTGATATGAAAAGAAAATTTACCTAACTTCCAATCCTACACAAAAACAGTGCAAATGCCAAAAAAATAAATAAATAAATAAAATAATAATAATAAAAAAAAACATGCATACACAATTTGCAATGTTGATGATAGGTTTCTCTGGGTTGATGGAAGCAAAATTCAACTTTCCAGAGCCAGAGTCTAAATAGCCTATTTCCTAGCAGTGCTTTGAAAATTCACTTTGACATTGAGAACAGTATAAAGAGTTTTTGTAAATATATACTCATTCTGAAACTAATGCCTACAACACATTCCAAAAAGGTTGGACAAGCAAATTAAAAGTAGAAATGTTGTGAAATGTTCCCAAAAAAGAAAAACAAAACAATTCAACAGGTGATGCAATCAACTGGTACTGAACAAGTATAAAAGGAGCATCCAGGATGGGTCTTATCCCTTATGAGTGAGAATGGGTTGAGGCTTACCACTTTGCCAAAAAATGTGTCAGGAGTTTAAGAATAATCTACCTCAGGGTGTATTTGCAATGATTTTAGGTATTTCACACTCTACAGTGCAGAATATCACCAAAAGATTCAGAGAATTCGGTGAAATCTTTGTGCATAAAGGGCAAGGCCGAAAACCAATATTATATGCCCATGACCTTCTATCCTTCAGACGCTGCATTAAACACCAACATGCTTCTGTAATAAATATAATCACATGGGCTTGGAAATACTAAAGTAAACACAGTTTGTCACCGCATCTTAAAATTCAAGCTTGATAGGCAAAGCAGAAGCCCTATCCAGAAATGCCGCTGACTTCTCTGGGCTAAAACTTATCTGAGATGGACTGATGCAAAGTTAAATATGTTTTGTGGTCTGCTGAGCCTACAATGGACTTTGCATACTCTGGGCCAAAGAGGAAGTGGACCATCCAAATTGTTACCAGTGCAAAGCAAATGCAAGCATTTGTCATGGTATTGGAGTATGTGAGTGGGTAACTGGCATATCTCTGAAGGCACTGTTAATGCTGAGGGGTACATACGCATTTTGAAGCAACACAGGTGACTATCTAGATGACTTTATTTTTCAGTGACATCCCTGATTGTTTTAGCAAGACTATTTCAGGCTGCATTTTGCACATTACAACAAGGTGGCTTTGTAGTAAAAGAGTGTATGTGCTAGACTAACCTGCCTGTGGTCCAGACCTGTCTCCCGTGGAAAAAATGTGGTGCATTATAAAGTGCAATACAACAATGAAGACTACAGACTGTTGAACATCTAAAGTGTTATATCAAGCAAAAATTCTGTTTTCACAACAACAATATGTGCCCTCAGTTTCCAAAATTTTACCTATTGTTCCAGCTTTTTTGGAACTGGGTTTAGTGGATTTACTGAAAGGTACTTTTACTTCCTCTTGAAAATTTACTTCACTGAAATAACAACACCTGAGTATGGATTAAGATGGGTTTAGGCTACTCTGATGTTTGCAGTTCCAATTGTTCTGTCACCTCTTATCTCACCTAATTGCCTGCATCATGAGTGTCCAGTGCTGGTCCAGGAGGCCCACAGTCCAGAAGAGTTTGGTTGATTTCCATGCCCTAACACACCTGATTCAACTCAGCAGTTAGTTACCAGGTTTAGGAGCAACTGAGTAGGGAATTCACCCAACTGTTCACTGAACACTGCTATGGAATGTGAGAAGGATTTATTGGAAAACCCCAAATGAAAACAAGAATTGCACTTGCATCCATGCACCAGGAAATATTTTTACCTCGTTCTATTATCTCTTTTTCATTCCTTCTTCCAACAAACTTCTCTTATTATATTAGAGGAAGATTTTTTTTTTCTGATGCAGTTTAAAGAATGAAGAACCACTGCCCTATATCTCCTTCTTTTACAAACCTATCTGTCTGAACAGCTTCTTCTATGTATGTTAATAAATAAAAATTAAATAAATATATATTTAATTCTTTAAGAAGTTCCTGATGGTGATGCAGCTTTGTTGTGACAGTAGCCATTACTGCTTCATGCATTTTACCATGCAGTCTGCTCATTTAACTCTGAGAGTGAAAATAGTCGTCACTTTTTAAGCATTTTTAGAGGTCAGCAGTTCAGGATAAAGTGGTGTTGAGCTGTGCACATGGATGGTTGGTAGTTGGTCATATAGCTAAATGGTTAAGTCACTTGTTCTCAATGTGGGAGAGCAGGGAAGCACTTATTGGGCCTTTTTTTTTGTTTATTTGTGTTTCCTTTATGTATTTTTATTAAAAGGTGGGGCTTTTAACGCTGTGTTCTGCCACTCTAATTATGCTGCTCTGGTGTTGCATGTGAGGTAATTTTATCTATTAGAAGACATTATATAACACGTCTGCTATGCAGGCTGGCATATTGATGGAAAACATGAACTTTATCATGAATCTCAAATTAAAAACTTGCTTGTCAGTTTACACATGTGGTTTGTGTTGATTCCTTCATGTTTCCTTTACTGTGCTCACTTTTCTGTGTTAAACTCATAGTTCCTTATAGTGAACACAACTAAAACACTTCATGGCATTCATTTTCTCAGACTGTGTGCTCAGAAAATAGCTTAATCAGTTCTAAAAGCATATAAATGGTTAGGAAAACATATAAAACAGTATAAACTTAATGTAACTACTAAATGTAACTACTTTATTCTGAAACACATATTTCATGCATACAAGGACCTGGAGATCAGACTACAATCTGCCAAAATTGGTCCAGCCAATTAGCCTCTTTAGAAGTCCTTAAGTGGCTTGAATGCATCGGATTACTGACACAATCTGATTTTCTTCAGTTATCAGTTTATTAAGTGCATGTAAACGCACTATATTCACATTTTCATTCCAATCAAGCAAAAGCATATGCGAAATTTTCAACATCCCTGCTCAAATTACATTTTGTTGATTTTCTAAGTGAAAATAAGCTAACAAGTCTTCTCTCTACAGGTGCAAATTTTCTAATTACTTGCTGAGTTTAACATATTGGGACAAACATAACATGTGCTATAACTTTTGCACCCCCCTCCCTCCCCCCATAATGTTATAATCATCAAATAAACAGTAATTGTGTGTTAAAATGTGCAGAAGTATGTTCTCTGTAAAGGGTGTGCACTTACTTAGAAAATCAGCCAAGCATAATTTGACTGGGGTAGTTTGAAATATATTGGTTAAGAACTTGCCCTGAACATTATGCTTGCTATTGCTCATAGGCAGCTCTGTTAGTGCTGGAATGGAGAAGTCTGACTATTCTCCTGTTGCCTTTTCTTAGTTTTCAAAGTTAATGTTTGATCTCTCTCAGCATCAATGCTTGTACACCAGTTCTCTCTTTAAACTTCCTGTTGCCATACATTCCTGTTGACACCCTGACAGTTCACTGCATTTGTCTTGACCATGGTTTCAGATGTTGAATTATAGAGGAAGTAGGAGCTGAAAAGACTAATGAACAGAGCTCGCTGAACACACAGAGCTATACACCCTGTGAAGACAACCACTGGTAAGGACCTGTTTTCTCAGCAGCACATTCTTATTGATATGAATTGCACCTCATTACAATCAGATAAATGTTACTTTGGTAGTAGCACATCCTCAGTTTACAAACATAAGTTCAGAAATAGACTAAAAAGTTCATTTGAACTCAAAGTTCGAGAAAATTACAATTATTTCGTAACAAAATTCTGTTACAGCTAAGGTTCTGTAGGTCAGGAATGAAGGTGAAGATGTGGTTGGTTGCTCTCCTCCTGATATCTGTAACACAAATGCATGCAGAGGACTCCGCATTGCAAGCTGTTCTGTCACAGAATGGACTGCAAAAAGGTAAGACACATTTCCCAAATCACACATACTGGAAAAGCATTAAAGAAAATTCCAGTCACCTTGGTTAAACCATCTATTACAGTGTTTCTTAGTCTGTTTCCAGCCTCAGCACACCTGATCTAGCTCATGAAAGGGTGCACAATCAATTGATCAGCTACTTTGCTACTTTTCTTTTCATTAAGATCCAAAAATGTAATGTAAACAAACATCCTGGTGCATGCAAAATAGTGATTTTCGCAGCAGTAACCATCTTTTGAACAGGAAAAAACGAGAAACAAGACAGGTAATTGGTTGTTGTATTTTGAGCTCCCTGCTAGAAAAAACATCTTAGACCAGCAAGCCTGGTGACCAGCAAAACCAGTATATGTTGTGTTTTTGATGCTGCTATGCTGGTCAGCAGCAACAGAAGTTAATAGGCTGATCACCAGCAAAGCCAGCATATTGTCGCTGTCAGAACAAAACTTTGCACCTCTGTTTTCCATGAATGTTTTGTTTTTTTTCAGCCACGTTGATTGCACATTATGCACCGTGTAGCTACTGGAGTTTAATATGACTATCCAAAAACATAACTGATTAAAAAGTATGTGTTTAAAACTCTGATCAAGTTACAATCCAGATACAATTCACATGAAATGATTAGATGTAAATGGGGTTTTAGTCTGAGCCAAAAGCTCTGTTCTACATATAATGTACCAGGAGTGAATATATGTCCTTTTGCTATTATACAATGTTTCTTAGCCCTTTGTAGTTGCTGTTTAGAGAAAGTGATTTTATCTATCTTTTCTGGCGAGCTCTGTGACTTCTGTTTTTGAGTGAATTCTCAAGACATTGCACATTGAAATTGTTGTGTAGGTTGAAGTAGTGAAACTGGGGACCATTAGGTTGAAACACACTCTGTATTGTTGGTACCGTGGGATAGTGCTTTGGGAAATTTCTCCATTTCTTTCTTCTTCCCCTTTTCATTTGCTTCAAAAAGACTTGTTTTGATGACAGAGAAGGGGTTTGACTGGGGCAGCAACACATTCTTTGCTGTGATTTCAGAAGCATCAAATATGATTGAAGTAATGTTTGATGGGGTTGAGGTCAGGGCTCTGTGTGGGCCAGTCAAGCTTTTCCACACCAAACTCAAACAAACATGCCTTTATAAACCTTGCTTTGTGCACTGGGACACTTCCCCAAACTGTTCCCACAAAGGTGGAAGCATACATTTTTTCAAAATGTCTTGGTATGCTGATGCATTGCAATTTCCCACTGCAAAGGGGTCTAAGCCAATCTCTGAAAAACAACTTCACCAAACTTTACAGTTGGCAGGTAATGTTCTCCTAGCATTCACCAAACCCAGACTCGTCCATCAGAGATAGAGAAGTGTGATTTGTCACTCCACAGAATATGTTTCCACTGCTCCTGAGTCCAGTGGCGGCATGCTTTACACCACTCCATCCGACGCCTGGTATGTGCTTGGTGATGTAAGGCTTGCATGCAGCTGCTCAGCCAAGGAAACCAATGCCATGAAGCTCCTGGCACACAGTTTTTGTGCTGATGTTAATGACAGAGGAAGTTTGGATCTCTGCAGTTCTTGAATCAGCAGAGCACTGATGACTTTTATGCACTATGCACCTCACACTCAGTGACCCCACTTTTTATGTGTCTTTATGTGGTCTGACACTTTGTGGCAGAGTTGCTGTGGTTCCTAAACACTTCCATTTTTTAATAATACCACAAAGATTTTGCGAACTGACTTGTTGCAACGGTGGCATCCTATTACAGTACCACGCTCGAATTCAGTGAACTCTTTAAAACGACACATTCTTTCACAATTGTTTGTAAAGGTAAAATGCTTGGCTAGGTGCTTGATTTTATACACCTGTGGCAATGGGACTGAATAAAACACCTCACCATTCAATGATTAGAAGGTGTGTCCCAAAACTTTTGTCCATATAGTGTATTATTTTCCTGAAACATTGACTTAGTATCTCGAAATGACCTCCAGTGTCCTTATTTTACAGCCTCCAACACACCTGGCTCAAATACTCAGGTATTCCAGGAGGCCTTTGTTATCTGAACAGGAGTGTTAGATTAGGGGAGGAGCTAAACTCTGCAGGGTGGTAGATCTCTAGGACACTCCTGCTATAGACTAATGAGTCTCTGCAACTTGTTCAGGAGTCCATCATGTAAGACCAGGAGCAGTATTTGCACTAGGTGAAGGTAGGCAGCTGCCTAGGGGCCCTCCATGAGCCAAAGACCCCATGAACATACAAATCAGATAGGTCTCTCTTTATTTGGATAGTCCACTAGAGTCCCCAATAGATTCTCTACAGAGATTGAAATAGTTAACAAACTATCTGTTGAAACTTGATTTTAAACAGTGGTGGGGTTAGGGCTAGGACGAAGGTGAGGGTTGGGTTTAGATTTTGGGTTGAGGGTAAAAAGTTAGGGTTAGGATTAGAGCCAGGTTTACATTTAAAGAAAATTTTAATTTAGTAGACATTTGGTTGAATTTAACTTGAAAGTAAATTAAGTATCTAAAGCATGCCATTAGATATACTTAATTACTGTACTTAATTTTAAATAAACAATTTATAGACAACATATCAAATGCTGAATCTGAGAAATTGTATTGTTTTCTGAAAAATATATGCCCATTTTGAATTTGATGCCAACAACATGTTCCAAAAAAGTTGGGATGGGGTCATGTTTACCACTGTGTTTCATCACCTCTTCTTTTACCAACACACGTACATGTCACCCATGCCATGTGCACTAATGCACCGCCATACCATCATGAACACTGGCTTTTGAACTGTGCACTGTTAACAAGCTGAGTCGATGCGGTATGGACAGTGACAGTGTCCATAATTTCCAAAAAGAATTTCAAATGTTGATTTGTTGGACCACAGGGCACTTTTCCACTTCCCCTCAGTCCATTTTAAATGAGTTCAGGCCTAGAGAAGGTGGCGGCATTTCTGGATCCTGTTTATATATGGTTTCTTCTTTGCGTTTTAGAGTTTTAATGGTTTAGTGGATGCAGCGATAAACTGTTTTCACAGACAGTGGCTTTTTTGGAACATGATCTTGGCATCAAATTCAAAATAGGCCTATATTTTTCAAAAAATTAATGTGTGTGTGTCTGTGTGTATGTGTGAGTATATAAAGCTATTAGCTGCAATTGATTGTTTTCAGTAATTTCAAAGTATCTTCACCCCCCCAGTCATGGTTAGAATAAACTATTCCATGTTGTTGCGTGATGACAAAACTGTGTAAAGAGAGAGTGGTATAGAAAAGATAATAATAGTAGTAATATATGTTTTGTAGAGGAGGTTCCTTTGTGTGATTTTCTAGGCAATAAGAAAGAAATTCAAATTAATTTATCCAAGCGCAGCCAAAAAATGCAAAAAAGAGGGAGGAAAGCAGTCAGAACAGAGTGCTGCAAATACTGTACATAATGCTCAAGCTAATGCTAGTATAGCTCCTCTGGAGTTGGGGTAGTAACCGAAAAAATGATCCATTTCAAGTTATTAATTGTTTCAAACTGTAATAGGGTAATGTTACTGATTACTTCCTGAAAAAGTAATCTCACTACTCATTACTTCTATGTTATTCTTTACCAAATGATCTCACTATGTTGAGCGATACTTTTGCTTGAATCAAGCATATTTCCTGTATATTATTCAAATTTCAAACAAAATTAACTGCCAACATACTGAGAATTCTACTTAAGAAATGTCTAGAAAAGTTAAATAATCTTTTAAAATACGTACAGCGATCTTACAATGAGAAATATTACATATAACGCCTAGATTTAAGATGATTTCACTTGCCAAGACGAAATTTTTTTTGCAGTGTAGATGGTTGAGTCACTACTTTAAAAATGTGCATCCAGGGGGCCTCATTCCTGTTTTTCTCCTATAGAGAAAAGCCCCAGAATCACTAAATATGCCCCTGTGTAAGACAAGGCTAATTGCTTAGCATACAAGGGCCACATAGTTAGCAAAAAATTAAAGCTTTGTGCAAAAATTGTTGCTCTAACCAGTTTGACTCTGTAGTGCAGGTAGTGACCTGACCTCTTGGGAGTCCACAGTACTGCAGTGTTTAGTGTTCTGCCTGCTTTGCACACGTGAATAAACTAATCTGCCACTCATCAAGTCATCTGGTTTTGGGTGTGTTTTGGAGTAAGGTAAAACGCCACAACCTGTAGCACTGTTGCCCTTTAGGAATGCAGTTCTCTATAAGGAAATAAAGTCATCACATCACCTCAGTCTGTTAATTACATGTATTTTTGTTGAAGATAGGGGAGCATGTGCTTGCAGGTGTGACTTGATTAGGGCTGTTTCTGGACTTCATGAGGCCCCAGGCAAGATTTTACTTTGGAGGCACATCTCTTTTTCATTCCGTAGGTGCATTAAACAAGCATAATTACCAGGGAAGCCCAAATTTTTGCAAATGACTTTTTACTCATATAGGTTTAGCAGGTTGAGCTTTTCCACAAGAAGGAGCTATTAGCTATCAAATAGGGTTTGTGTGAATCACAGAAAGAAAGAAGACTCATATTAACACTATCTAATGAAGGCATGTTTGCCTTATTTTGGGATTATAAGTAATTTATTAACATCACCAAAATTATTGTTTCAAGGAATTTCCAGTTGTATGTGGATTTTAATCAGTTACCAAATAATTTCAGTATGGCAACCTGATGCCAGCGGACGGCATAATACTTTCCCTCCATAACTTACAACTCTTTGAACCAGAATTCTAAGAACCTGTTCTTGTGTCCAAATTTGGTTAATATACAGTATAAATATTCAAACCAAATAAATACATTTTCTTATACTTGCATCACATACATATGGCAGAATGTACCACTCAGAATGTCTTAGAATGAATGTGTTTCTGTATGTGTACAGCAAGTGAATTGGGGACTTCCTGGCTGCAGAATCATATAGGTAGAACTACCCTCCCAGAAGTCAGAGGAAAAGTGGATATCGGAATTGGCTCCGTGGAGTACGTCCTCCATGAGTATGTATTTACACCAATGTGTGATACAGTACTAGAACATACTTGAAAAAATAAAGAGACTTTGATTACAGTGTGACCTACGTCCAAGATATAGTTAATCTGTGCCAGTGAAAAAAGATCAAGATGAAGGTCATATGAATGAATTTGGTAAAATATGGTATTACTGGTTAATTCACTTGATTTGAGGGGAAGGTCTATGATACACTATTTCCATGTTCCTTGAACAGGTGTTAAATCTAGTGTTCTGCTTTTACTTGGTTGGTTTACTGTAGAATGTTTATAAAACATACTGGACACACATTAATATTAAATATGAGCTAGTGGTTTTCAGCTTGAAAATCCTGAGGAAAAGCTGTGTTAAAAATCTTGGCCTATGTAAAAATATATGATAAATTCTTAATTGAATTACTGTTTACTAAAAGTGTCACTATGGTTAATCCTCAGCATGTCCATTCAGAGCTGTGTTTTGCCGGTACCATCAGTTGCCTTTTCAAAAGGAACCGGCGTGTCTCTGCAAGTGAGCGGAATCTCCATCAGCGTCAGGGGTCTTTGGAATTTACACTTTGGCATCATGTAAGCAAATCGAATAACACACTTTGTATTCCATTGTATTGCAGTTTTATGTACTTTATGTACCTTATGTAAAAAGCAGAACAAACAAAATTTTATATTGTAGGTGAATGGCAAGTCATCATTTATGAAAGTGATGATTTTTTGATATGAAGAAAGCAGCTGTGCTGTCTTTGTTGAGGTGCACATTGGGTTATCCCACCCCTTCCCTTTCAGTCCCCATGGCTCACTAGCAGCTGAACACAGAGTCACAAGATTTCACGCAGAGAGACAACAGTGTCCTAGTTAATCTGAAAACAGTGTTATGAAGAAAATATTTTATTTGATTATATTAATTATAAACATCTGAGTTGTTTTGCATTCTGCTAGGAGGTTGGCTATAAGGGATCCTGTAGCAGGAGATAAAAATATTAAGGGATTTTTTTCAAAATTAGTTGCCAAAGCAAAGTCTGCATGCAATTGGCCTAATCATACTACTTCAATAAACATCATATTATTCTTATAAGTAAGTAGCCTAGCCTGTTGTTTACTCCCCAGTACATATTGACCATATATGGAAGTTAAGCTGCAAAAACAGCCTATTTTGATTAACATATCAATGCCCCGCGATGGACTGGCAACCTGTCCAGGGTGTTTCCTGCCTTCCACCCAGTGACTGCTGGGATAGGTTCCAGCTCCCCCATGACCCAGGAAAATAAGAGGTTTAGAAAGTGTGTGTGTGTGTGTGTGTGTGTGTGAGTGAGTGTGTGTGTGTGTGTGTATACATATATCCACCTATAGACCTCTGAGGACATGTTGTCATTTTGTAGTCAGTGATATGGCCTATAAGGGACCGAGGTGCTGTTTTAGTACTTTTTCGCGATTCACCACATGGATGTCTGTTACAGCTACAGCTTATACAAGTGGCCACTCACAGCAGAAAAGTAGAAGGAGAGACAGTGAGAAGTGAAATTTCCAGAACATACTTGTCTTTGGCTAAGCAAGTCTCATTGGGTTAATTAGCTAACCGTGCAAAATGTGAAATGCTAAATGTTTGTTGTTTGAGATGTCTGAACACAATGTACACTAATTTTGTGAATAACTGTTTTGCCAGGCTATTTTCTGTTGCTGCTAGATGTGTAACCTTTAAATTGCTAACTAGAAAACTAGCAAAGAAATGAAGTTGTATCAGCAGTCATGTTTAACAGATGGAGAAGTTTACTACATTTAAACCAGTTTGAATCTAGCAAATTGCTATATTTTTGAAATATGAAGTGTTTTTAAGTATTTTATTGCTATTGCTTAAAAAAAAACAGCTTTAACCGCCATTTTTGGACAGGGGGTTTGAAAAGTGAATCATGTCAGATCACAATGATTTCTGGGCAAGTTCTGCCCAGGACTGTTGATTTGACTCAAGTGTTCATTTGATCCTGTTCCAGTTGTTTTTGTTTTGTTTTTTTTTTTGTACAATCACTTAGATGCATTTTTCAGTGCCAGGTTTACTTTTTCAAAACTCTTCAAACTGTTCTCTGCAGCAACATGCAGCTCTGCACAATTGTTCATTTTATAACCTAAACGCTCTACAACATTTGTGCATTTCTTACCACATTTAGGTTTTACTGACAAACTATTTTTACATTAAATGAAAACAGTCTGAAACAGACAGACAAACATTACAAAACAGAATGGTCTATTTACTGAATAGCAACAAATGAAATTATATAAACATTAAAAAAAACCCAGTACTTTACATTATCTAGTATTGTTGTAGTACTTGAGTCTGGTCACAACACCATAAACTAGCTGCAGTCTCTGTCTTGTCTTGGTGTAAGGTGGAAGTTGTTGTTGAGACCAGCTGGGTGCTATTCCTGTCTGAGGTGACCAGGGCACTTTAACCAGCTTGGGTGTTCTGGGGCTAGAGGTGGTCGTTGGCCCTATGGGTCTAGTTACGCACAGCATTCAAAAACTCAACCCCCCTTTTTTTTTTACTGCCATTGCCAGAGTACTTATCTGCAAGGTTCTTTTTCAAATTTTCTGTTTTGCCTTATATGGTGTTGCAGTTGCATTCTGAGCAGCTGACTGCTGCGCCATCTAAGGTGGAACAGAGAATTTGAATAAGAAGCAGACAAATAGGAAGCCAGTTTCAGCCTTACCTTAAACCCAGAACCAAACCACTAAAAGCCATAGTCAGTATGTGCTAACATTAGCTAGCTGTGCGCCATCCAATCTGTTTTGTTTCACCACTTAGCATGTTATTCTGAATGAAACAGTTTTGTTTGAAATTGTTCATGGACAGAGCTGTCTGTAGAGGCTGTGTTTCATGGAGGTTGAAGGTTCTCATACTGTGCAATTATTGTAGGTGTGAATGGCCAATGCGTCCTGACTCGTGACACATGTCATTTAGATGTAGCATGTGTGAAACAGGTCTTAGATCTAAAGTGCCGTATTTGGTCATTTCATCGACTACTAAATGACACATGACTTAAGAGGTCTATTGAGGTCTTGACTATGAACTTCACCAGCTCCAGCCAAAAGATACCGCTAATTCAAAAACTTCTCTGCGGTCTTTATACACAGTAATGATGACGGTTGGTTTGAATTGGATGTGTATGCGATCAGTCTCAACACGGTGTTGCAGTTGGGCAGTGAGGAAGAGCACGTCTCTATTTCCACCGTCGTATGTTCTGCTGATGTGGGAAGTGTGCACGTGAATTTCCATGGAGGTGCAAGGTAAGAGCACAAGAAACTTATTTAGCATCACTAATGTCTCATATTAATATATGAAGTTTGTGCTTCGGAAAAAAGGATGAAGCTAAATATATTTATATAAATTTATATTGCATGGTAGTAAACAAGATATTTGTCTTGGCATAGTATGGTGCTTAATGCCCTGAACACAATTATCATGGCATTTGAAGTTGGTGAAACTACACTAGAACCACTTGAAACACTGTATAAAAACCCATGTCATTTTCTGACCGTTTGGTTGTCTTGCAATGTTTTATGTTTTTTTGTTGCCTGTTTTGTCTCCTCCTCTTGCTACACCATCTGCATGCTTGCACTTTAAGTCATTTTAATATAAAGTTATATAAATTTTTTGACAGCAATTTCTCCAGTAATTTATTTAGAGTACAAATACGGTATTATAAAGCTACAGTATTTTTCACTATATTTTTAAATACAGTTAATTACTGTATTCACTCCTGTATTTCTATTGTACAGGTCATATATGCTCTAATTTGCACCCGCAGCTACCTCAGGTGCCTCAGTTTTGCAACATTATGTAGTATAATGTATAACACTATATCTCCAAAAGTTTGTAGACAGCTGGTCATCTATTGCTTCTTATGAAATCAAAGATATACAATTGGATGTTTGTCCTCTCCTTGCTGCAGTAACAGCCTTTATACTAGATGTTGAAACACTGCTGTGAGGATTTGATTGCATTCAGCTGCAAGAACATTAGTAACATCAGGTACTCCACTCCAACTCATCTCAAAGGTATTGGATGGAGCCACATCTCTCCAGAGAACACAGTTTCACTGCTCCACAGCCCAGTGCCGGGGTGTTTTATATACCTCTAGGCGATGTTTGGCATTGGGCATGGTGGCTTTAGGCTCATGTGTGGTTGATCCAGAGAATCACATACTATTGGGAGTACTTCTCTATGGCACTAATAAAAGCCATGTATGCAATTAAACACCTATGTCAGCAGTGGGTGCACCTTGAAGTAGCTGAATTCACTAATTACAAAGAGTGTCTGGATACTTTTGAACATGTAGTGTAGGTAAGCATGAAAAATGCATCTTGATAGCACTTAGTAGCACAAGCTTCAATATTCATACATACATAGTTAAAAGAATGATCACTCATTTTTACAATAGCACAGTAATGAATATCACATTACAGCAGGAAAATGTACCTGTTCCAGTCGTTAAGAGTGCAAAGATGGCAGTAACCAAGTATTTATTGTTCATAACATAACCAGTTGGGTTTATTCATGAATGCTTTGCAGCTTGTATGCTCAGTTGTGTGCATAATCTTGATTTGAACAGTTTTACATCATTGCTGTCCAAAAACCTAAAGTATCTCAATTTTCTCAGAATTTATTTCCTGAATGGACCAACAGAAATACTCCCAAATTGCTTAAAATAAAATCTTTTTATATTAACCCCTTAAACAGCCAGGGCCTGCCAGTAGGCCCACAGTTGTATTACACACTTCTATAACCTAAGAATAGCTCAACTAGTTTGCATTCCCTGCAAGTCCCTGTACTCAATAAGCCTTAGTAATAAGCCTGAGATTCGGAGGGGTTAACTCCCATTAAAAGTTAGTAATGTTTTTGCCTTGTAAAGTTACTGTTTCTGTAAAAAGTAACTTTTTTAGCGATGATATGCTATTTGTCCTCTGTCTATGTATCCAGAAAGATGAATGTTTTTGCAACTGTGTATTTTAAGTGTTATACTGTGATAGTGGTAACTTGTATTAAAATGTTATTTTTTTTAAGGTGCCTCTTAACAGTTGGCCAAGGACTACAAATGAAAATGAGCCTTTTGAAATATCTCTGTCTGATGTAATAATGAGCACTGTTCCTGACAAATAAATTAGCAAAGGAAAGCATAAATTAAAAAAAAAAAGTCAACTATCATATATATCAATCCTGCTCTAATACTTAAGAGCATGTTAACTTTGTTGCATCTTTTTATTGTACGGTTAATTTATGCAAAGTAATTTTTTATGATTTTCTTTCTTTTTTTCAGTTTTATCTACCAACCCTTTGTAGATATGTTCAGCAATCGTATCAGAAATGAGATTCGTGCAAAGGTATGTAACGTTTGGTTCTAAAAGAAAATGTGTTATGTATATGGTCACCCAACTGTTAAGGATGCTATGACATCTCTTTTTTGCTTTTAGATTTGCCCAGCATTTCAACAAGGGATTGGAGGTCTAGAGAGCCATCTAGCTGCAATGCCTGGTATTTGACTGAATAGTTATTTTTTAAAAGTTACTGCTAAGTATTATTAGTAACACTATCAAACTAATATTTATGATATATATTTATGATGGTGAGGAATTGAATGGTGGCCATTTAGGCTTTAAGGAGTGTAAATGTAAAACCACAATTGACAAAAACAAACAAAAAACATTGTAGAAAGCATTACTTTATAACATTATCGGAAGTTCAAAATATCAGGTCCAGATCTTTGACCCCACGGAAATGACCCTGGTCACCCAGCCAGGAATCGAACCCAGACCTTTTGTGCTGTGAAGCAACAGCGCTACCCACTCCACCAACATGCCACCTACAACAGCAAACATAAAAACCCAAAATGCCAAGCATTCTAGGTAAAGCATACCACCACAGAGGGCCTGGAATTTTATTTTTTTATAAGTTCTTCCTTTAACTCACGCGGCTGACATTTCATATATGCCTTTGGAAATGGGCATCCTCTACTCTGTCGAAGTTTCAGGTCTTGATTTTGTAGATCCCCCAGGCCTTTTGTAAATCTAGAGCTTCAGATTAAAAGTATATTAACAGGAACACTAGCTCACTGCTAGCTCAAACCTAAAAGCTTGACCAAGGCAATGGTGGTGTTGTAACTGCTGCTAAGCAGTGATTGGAGGAGAAAATGAAGTGGACATTTAGGAAAGACGTGGAGAACGTCAAGATTATGATCAGCTGTAACAGAATGACAATTTTTTTTCTACTGCAACACTAGTAAAGCTCCCACTGCAACTGGTGCCACAAGTCAAAGCAGTGTAGATGTCCTCATAATTGCTTGTGGGGGACTCCCCTGTTGGCTCAGGCTCATGGGCATACATTTATAAACCCCACTGGATGATCTGGGCCTGCCAAATATACATGACAATACAGAATGTTTAGTTAACAGCAAAGTTACTCCATAAACGGTGTTAAACTTGGCCTTAAATGTCTAGATAAGCCAGTACAGATCACCACTGCACTGCATAACCTGAAGTATTCCTTTCCTCATCACACCACACATGCTTATTATCTAATTAACAAACCCTTTATTAGGTGTGGATTAGGTTGCTGAGGTAGGGTACATTATAACCAGTGAAGAGAGAAGGGTCTAAGAACTGGAGGACAGTGTGCCAACACTGAATTCAGCTCAACAAAGGGAAAAAGAACCTCAACAAAGGGAAAATCTAAATAAATAAAGGGGAAAAAACATAACGAGTACAGATGCTTCCAAAGATCTACTGTATGTACGGGAAGGACATCAGTTAATAGGGTTGGAATGTGTGGTTAGCTGCATATTCAATGACTGCGATGTTCTTGCATTAGTGTGATATGTAAGGAAAAACAGATGAGCAACTGTTCCTTAGGTGACTTAGAATATCAATACAGGACGTGATCAGACTGTGTGAGCAAGAACCGCCCATCCACAACTACAAGGACAGCAAATAGCCACACATAGGCTAGTCCTCCACCTCCCCTTAACAACTGACCTTCAACTGCCATTTTGCCCCATATATATATATATATATATATATATATATATATATATAAAATACATATAAAATTACAAAATCATATACAACTTTTTTCATTCAAAACTATTTATGCCTTATTAAATCTAAAAGTAAAAAGGAACACCAAAATTAATTTGGATACCTGTATATACCAGAATAACACTCCCCAGCTGTCAGACCCCACTTCAGTGCTCCTCCCAGGTTTATTTCAGACCTGTGAGAAACACTGAAGAAGGATATCATAGTAGAATTGCAGTGCATATCCCCCTGTTTGAGAGATCAGTGGTGTAAATATCAGGCAATGGTCTACAGAGATGTGGCCATCAGATTAGAGGGGATTATCTTTTAGAAGAATGGTGGTTCATTCCTCTAGTACAGTCCCTAAGACTTGGAGTATCTATGCAGGCACTTTTAAGATATTCTATCAGCTTCTGGTGGCCAAACACCTTTCTAAGGCACTTTATACTGGTTTTTCCATTATCATTTTTAATTTTGGTGTCACTTTATTTGGTTAGCCCATTGTGAATGCTTTGTAGTTGCCTGCACAACATTTAACTTAGATTTATTTAGATACCCATGAAATTCACCTTAATTTTCTGTGACTTTAATCCTGGTCCTAACCCTCACCTTAATCTTAACCTCAACATGAAGCCTAATCCTAAACCTAACTGTAATCTTAACCCCAACCCGAAACTTTATACTAACCCTAACTTCAATCTCAACCTCAACCCCAAGCCTAATTCTAATTCTAACTCCTGTCCTGAATGTAACTCTTGTCCTAAACCTAACCATGGTTCTAAATTTAACTCTTGTCCTAATTCTAACCCTAACTTCAACACTGCTGAGAATCAACAGAGTTTTACCAGACACTTTGTTGATAATTTGAACATCTCCAGATAATCTATTAGGGCAATTAATTATTAGGGCAGTATACTATGTGATGTGCAGTAGGTCAAACATAATACATTTATTTTAAAACAGTGAAAAAAGAATATATAAATGTGTATATTTTCTACCCTATATGTTCTTCAACTGGGGGCTGTACTTTACTGCCTGGTCAACAATAACTACATTCAGTTTATATGTAGGGCATTTATTAATGCTCTTGTTATTTGTCTATTATTTTACAGTTGCCGTCAAGATGGGTTCGTATGTATATATGAACGTTTCTTTGACAGAATCACCTCTGATAAAAAGCACTGGACTTGAACTGAATGTAAAGGTATGACATTCATTTTCATATTGATATCTGCCAAAATCATACCGCACTTTCATGATAGACACTCTTGTTTCACAAAGCTTGTTAACCCTGTGGGGGTTCTCACCATTGAAGAATACAGTAAAAGGGGTCTAGCAATGTATGCAGAGAAATAGATGGACTACAGTCTGTATTTGTAGAACTACCAAGAGTAGCTATATAGTCAGTGGATTTAAAACAGTGAGTATTTTATACCTAAGATATTTACAAGAATTGTGTTATGATCCATTTGAACCCAAGGTGAAAACTGAGACAGTAATAGGCTAAATATATCATCATTTATAGGGTACTTTCTATCGGAAAGGTGGCTGTCCCAAACCCTAACCCCTAAATTTCCACTTGTGAAAATAAAACTTACATTTTAAAAATGTTTTTTCAGTCATTTTGATTTCCTTTAAAGTTGAAAGATATAAATTTATCATGAGTTTATTTTTTAAAATTTAAAAATGCCGTCCCACATTTTCATGTCACTACCGAAAAACAAAGAGTTTTAGTCCGTAGGCGGCATTTTTTTGTGTAACATTAATAACCATCACTACTGAGACACATATTTTCTGCAGGTAAATAAACTTTTTGTTTTATTGAAAAACAGGATAATTTTATGTGTGTAAAACTGTTCAAAGTTATGTTTGCTACTCGTGTACTGGCTAGCGTTTTTGATTCATGCTCAAAAGTAGCTAAAAGTTTTGCTACCGAAACATTTGGTAAAAGTAGTGACAAATTGGAATGTTTAATTACTTAGTAAGTTAAGGAAAGTTTACTTATTTATGACCACTGATTATTTTGTGATTAATCTTTTGTGTCATTCTGTTGTTTCCTTTTTTGTAACAGGGTGAGTTTTATAGCATCACCTCACCCTCAGAACCACCATTTTTCCCCAAATATTTTGAGGTGCCATGGCGAGAGGATTACATGGTGTCGCTGGGTGCATCAGAGTTTTGTGTGAACTCAGCAGCATATGCCTTTCTGAGTGCTGGAGTGTTGCAAATACTTATCACAGATGACATGGTGAGAATATAGTTTGATCAATCTTAAAACTGAATGCATGGTGAACCTGGCTTCATTACTGAAAGTCCCAACTCACTGTCATACTGGGTGGTCCAAAAATCCCCTCAAATATTTAAAATAATATAAGTGAAAAGAAGTTAACACCACCTCTGCATGGTACGAACTTAAATGTGACATATTTCTGCATATCTTAATGCATGATTATTACCTGAATTTATGCTAATGGAAAAAATAAAAATATAAATGTGGTATATGTTTATGATTGGGCATGCTTTCAGTACTTTCAGAGCTCCTTTGGTTTAAATCACAGCCTCCAAAGTTTCTTGTAGCCAGCTGACAGTCATTTTACACTTGATTCGATTTTGTCCCCAGAAGTCCAGAAATATTCATAGGTATGCAGACCATGTTTAAAATCTAATCACATATTTTCAATAATGTTTAAGTCAGTGGGAACAGTGGCAGCCATTTCACAGCCATAATCCTTCATGTACGGAAGTATTTTTTGTGTATGTTTGGCATCATTGTCTTGTAGTAAGATCTTCAGTTTCTTCACTGACTGTGGGACATCAGCTTCCAGGCTTTGCTGATCTTTGTTAAAATCATTTCTTTCCTCTATCCACACAGATCCATCCCCATGCTTAAAAGCTGTCAAGATGTTCTTTGATTGAAATGCTTCTATTTATTTCTCCAAACATACCTTTGGTTTTTGTAGAATTCATTTTTTGTTTTCAGATCACAGAACTTGATTTCAAAAAGCCTCGGGTTTACTAAAGTGTTGTGTACTTTAGACACTTACTTTTGTGATGAATTCACTGTTAAGATTACATTCTGATGAGTCTTCTCTGTGGATTATGATTGTCCATCAACACTGCACAGTGGGCTAGTGCATCACTACTCCTTTGCTGCAGGTCCTTGACAGTGCTGTGGGGCTTTTGCTTTGCATACATGACCAGTCTACGAGCATATTTTCAGAGATTTTGGTCTTAGTCTTCCAGATCTTGTCTTGGCTTGAGTCAGTTTTCCTTAACTTCCTTTTGTTAATGGCAATGAAAATTATAAGCAGGAAGAAACCTTAACAAAAATGACATTAATTGATTGACTAAAGGGGTGCACAAACAGTTTTTTAAATATTAAATTCAGAAATAGCAATTGCGCTTCATAATTGTGCATATTTTAGTATATTCCATGCAAAACTTTTTTTTCATTTAGAAAATCAACAAAACGCAATGTAATTTGACCTAGAATGCTCAAACTATAGCATGCAATTATAGTTGTATATATAAAACTTTGAAAAGGAAGCCCAGAATTGTATTATTTTTTTTGCCATTGTCTTTCTCAGTATGCTTAATAGAGGTTTGCACCCAGATTCCAACAAAGCAGCTTTGTGACAACAACCACTGTAAAATGTGCTATATAAACCAAAAAGGATGTTCTCTTACTCATCTCAAATGTAACTTGTAGATCCCCAAGGCCTCTCCCATTCATCTGAACACAAGCCAGTTTGGAATCCTGATTCCTCAGGTTTGTATTTATATCTACTTTTAATTATTGAAAATGGTTCATAGAATGTGGGGCCAGTGGATTTTTTGAGTACACAGTAGAACTTTCAAGGACCCATGATCACAAGCTAAGTTATCTACAATGGCCCATAGAATGTGTGGATAGTAGATGACACACCGATTTAACTACTAGTTAAATTATCCAAAGTGAAATTACTAATTTTACTAGTGTTATTGAGTACAAATATCATTTAGGTGAGATTTGGTTATTCAGTCAACCAGTAACCTTGTTTTTTTTTTTCTGCAGCTCCCCAAGAAGTATCCAAACATGCCAATGCAAGTGCAGCTGTATGCCAGTGAGACTCCACTGTTTTCCTTTAACAAAACAGTAATAAATGTCCACTTGTTAGCTTCAGCCAAAGCCTTTGCCATAGGGCCAGATTCTGCTGCAATACCTCTCTTCAGACTAGATGTGGTGAGTGATAGTACCTCACTTTCACTTCTGGATTGTAGATGTTTGTGTTTGTATGTTTCTCACCACAAACTGGTGCTCTAGTCAAGAACACTAGAGGTGAGTCCAGACTGATACCAGATGAAAGTTTTTTCAGAATATGAAAATAATAAATAAAAAGCAGAAAACTTGTTTGTAGTTCATTGTACATTCATAGACATTTATTATGCATGACAAATATTAATAAATATTTTGTAAAACATATCTAAAAATATATATATATATTATATAAATATATTGTTAATTATTATTATATTATAGTCTTGCTTCAACTTCACTTCGTAACTTTTGGAAGCAAGGTTATTCTCTGTTTCTAAAACAAAAGTCAACTGAATATAAAGCAAACAACATACTTACTATTTTTGACCAAATAAAGCCTCACCTCTCACTTGAAAGCCATACAACTAAACTGAAGCGCTCTTATTTTGAACAGCGTACATTGCAGCGTGTTTAAGAAATGTTTTACCTTATTCATTTTTGTTAGGTGTTCTTCATCATTTATTCATTGGGTTTATTGTGCTAAGGACTCTTGTTGTAGAGGGCAAGGCTAGGAAAACTGCTCAGGCTGTGTGTGTATGAGCAGGCGTGAACTGGAAGAGAGAGAGCGGAGTGAGACATAAGTGAAGTCACAGAGTGAACTGTCAAAGAGAGACTTGGCATATGTACAACATAGCTGAGGCCAAAAACAACTGGAAAATAAAGCACCACGACTTGTGCGAAAGCTGTGTCTATTTAAATAGTGGTGAAAAGACAGTTATGCTTGGAACAATTAAAGGTAAAACAGGAAGAGGACAGCCAGCAGCAAGATGGATGGATACAATCCGATGAATCATGTACAAGCTGATAAATCTGAAGACTCAAACAGAAGACAGAATATTCTGAAGAAACACAATCCATTTAGTTGCAAGGAGTCAGAATCGACTTGATGGCACATAATGTGTCGGCATTGGTATCAGCATTGGCCAACAACTCTCTACTTCTAATCCTACGCCAATTGTACATTATGTTGTGCATTACCTATAGCGTGTCTTAAAATCGTTAGCACTGAAACATCAGTTAACAAAATAAAAGTCTTGTGCGGCCCCCACAACAGTTTCTTAAATGTAGCTATAAGAGAATATTGAGTAATTCTGAATGTAGGTTGTGCTTGTAAAGCACTTATATTAACTTTTATTGTCTCTAATTTCCTTTTCCTCTTGAAGGAAAGCTCAATCAGTGCCAAAGCCTACACTGACAAACAGCTGCTGAAGGGAGTTTTGGAAATGAAAAAGTAGGTGGACAAGGCTACTGTCTTTATTTTGCCTGTATTGTCTTTTGCAATATGTTTTATTGAAACTGCAAAGAAATAACTTTATCCTCATATTTCTTGAATGGCTGAAGTTTCACTATGACACTTGGATCAACTGAGATTGGTGATTTCCCAGTAAGCATTCAGGAAAACAATAAATAATTAAATATTATAATAAACTGATAGTACAACTTATCTTATGATTATAAATGGTCATGATTTTTTATTTTTCCCATAGATTGGTCCAATTGAGGGAATGATGAAGTTTGCAGTGACAACACTGGTACTTCCAAAGGTGAATGGTAAGAAGTTCCACATTTGGTTGCTTAAATGGGCCAAATTAATGTTTAATTGTGGCAGTCTTACTAGGAAACGTCTCACTAAAAAGTGGTAGCAATCTGATTATGCAATTATAACAATTTTTTTCTTTTAGCCCTACTGAAGGATGGCATTATGGTGCCCTTTGTGACGGGTTACAACATCAGTAATTCAGTAATGACCATTGAAAATGTAAGTGAAATATTTTGTTTATCTTTTTTTAAATTATTTATGAAATGTATTTTCTCATTATTTTCTTAAGCAAAATGTGTAAATACAGTTTATTTGAGTGGGGTTGGAGTGGTGGTAAACTTACTGGTACTTTTAAAGTTCTATTATGCTACAAAAAGTATATAAGTGCCCATGTTATATCTCTAAAACATTTATTTATGAAAATCTGTTGCTCCCAATCAGTCCATTTCATGCTCTCTGCCACTTTCAGTCATTTGTACATCATCAGAATAATGGTACACTGTCAGATAAAAGGTCACTGTCCACGTAGATTATAGTCCAAACAATGTAAATGTACCCTGAAAGATGGTCCATTCACTCTCCCGGTAGAAAAGACCAGGTTTTAAGTAGAAAGGTCAGGGCCAAGGTTTAATAAATTTTAAGGTAGACACAACAGACAAGATTTAAACAACTAAATGGTCTACATAAATAATAATAGAAAAAGAATTAATAAATAACAAATGAATACAAACACTATAAATTGTAATTCATGATTAAGTGGCATGTGCCTAACTTACTTTCTTAGTTTCTTGAAAGTGAAAACAGTAATAATGTTTTCATAAATACCATTTATATACCAAATACCAAATATCACAACTGACACAAGATTGATAGTTTGTGTACAAAAAATAAAAACAAGTAGAAACAAGCAGAAAAGAAGAAAAAGAAAAGAAGCCTTCTGACCAGGCGCTTCACAACTGGCATCCTCTTATATAATTGTAACATCACCAATTACATTTCTTGTTGACTTTCTAAGTGATAATACGCTAACAAACCATCTACAGAGAGCAATCTGAAATATGGCATTTTCTGTACATTTTTACATTTCTATTTATTTGCTTATAGATTTTGACATACTGGAAAAAAGAAACAGAAAATATTAAATGTGCTATGACTGTTGCACAGGCTACATTTTATGTTTTAAAAGCAGAGCTGAGCAGTATAATATTGAATAAATGAATTCACACTAGAAACTGCCCCTGATATTTGAGAAAAGAAAGTACTTCTTAATGTTGTATTGTGGTTGAAAATATAATTTTTAGAGATACTAAATTCTTTTATGATGCTGCATGAAGATTCTATTTTCTCTTCCCAGGGTTTTGTGGCAATTGCAGCTGACATTAGCGTCCCCTAGGATAGCTGGCAATGAGGACATCCTCTGGCTTCTAAACATATTTACTGTCAAGTAAATTTAGTTTAGTACCCTAAATATGGGTGTCTACTGTAGCACTGATCAATGAAGTTAGCATAGCTCATAAGCTCCTGTGATTATGAACTGCATTAAATGCATAATGTTTTACCTACCTGACTTATACAATAGCCAGTTAAGTTACTGGAGTTTTTGTTTGTTTGTTTAAAATGCAGTGTTTTTTACATAAGAAAAAATGGACAAAGCTACTTAATGGTTTTGACAATAATATATTTTTAAATTCTAATTACAAAACAGTTTTCATAAGAACCTGTGTACTCTTGCATACATTCTGACTGTCATAATGGACCTGTTTTAAAGAAGTCTGACTGTGGATTACCAATCAAGACACTGAATGACAAAAATAAAAATTACAACTGCAACCAAGAATGTGCAGCATTATTTTCTTTTATTTATTTATTTATTTATTTTTTCATACTCTTTTTCCTTATTTATGATTTTGGCATTGTGGATCAAAAATGGCCTCTTAATTATAAAGCAAGAAAGGTTTCTAGCCAAACTAAAATACAATCAAAATGAACCACTGTCTTGCTATTGCATTAGAATGCCTTGGTACAAAAGTACTTTACTTGTGAGACATCTTGGGGTCATTTTATTGTCATATCAATATTAGTATGTTCAGCAGATGTCTTTCAGTACGAGCTGTGGCATACAGAAAGAAAAGAGGGGAAATTTCTGCCTCTTGTGTTCCTGTGGTAAAATTTAAATAATGAAACTTGTCTGAAACACTTCCCCAGGCCAATCCGTTCCATTTTTTAACCCAGTATGGGCACATGCATGCATGTTCTGAATATTCATACTAATCTTTTTAAGTTTTATCAGTCAGAGAGGCTGGGTGGAAATACATGTACATGTACAGTTCTATTTATGCATATAAATGAAGACCAGTTTCACATTTGTATAAACTTCAAAACTTTAAAATTCGAACAGATTTCAAAAACTGAGAATATCACACTTTAAAAAGTGCATTACTCAAGATTCAAGACACTCAACCTTAGTGGTTAAATAGGTGAACCACAACAACATTGGAATGATTTTGTTTTACTCTTTGGATCCACCTCCCATTCCCACCCATCAGCACAAAACACACCCTGCGAATCGCAGTGACCGTCAGAATTCACTAAAGAGTTACCAAAGATAGTAATGTTTATTTTTCCAACAGTGAGGTAGGCTGTTTATTAAATGTATTGCCTAAGAGGGGAATTCCACCAATTTCTAAAAATTTCTGCATTATTCAGGGGTTGAGATATAAGCAAAGTCATTCAGTGTGGTTTGATGTGAAATGGTTCAGTGTAGAGAAACGTACCGACTCAGATTTCTTTACAGTGTTGGTGATGGGAATGAGGGGTCACAATGTTTACAACACAAACTATCTAAAACCATCAGTGAACCTACACGTGTCTTCTGAGTTTATAAATATAAAGTTGGATGATGGTAAACTAGTGGTAAATCTGAAAAAAACAATTTACAACACCTTATAACATCTTCCATATGTCCCTCCACCATGAAGAGATTAAAATAAATCGATTAAACATTGATTAAAATACATTTTAGGTAAAAACTTTATCACAAAACTACCATAAAACAATGTCTCAGAAATATGGCTGAGTATTCATTTCATGTAATAACGTTCTGTGAGGAAACTTAAAAGTGTTAAACACTTCAGATGTCTGGGTCCTATCACCACCACTGTGAACAATTCTGACTCATCAGTTTCTCTGAAACAAAGCATTGTACACCAAACCATTCTGAATGACTTTATTTACATCTTAACCATCTAATTATACAGAAATTTTGAGAAATCTGTGGAGTTCCCGTTTAATTCGTTATTTAGATATAGATGATAAAAAATACAATACGGCATTATGCTATTATTGCTTCAGAGGAGACCGAGATACTCAATACAGCCTACATCTTAATAGAGCTTGTTGTGTGTGGTCTTTTTCATAGCTAAAGCAACAACTTTAAAAGATGTTAATAACAGTGAATGCCATGGCTAGCAGTCAGGATACCTCAGGGTGGTTATGTAGTGGGTAGTAACTAGTTTCATCTGCACAAGTACACATATTTAAATAAAATACTGACAGATATGTACTCTTTTAACTGTTTTTAAATCATAACATTTTAACTTCTTCTCAAGTATACTAGTGAATAAAGGAATCTACTTTTTACTCAGCTTCATGCCAGCATTATGTTTTGTTGTACTGATGTCACTGCAAAAAAAATTGTATCATGTCCTACATATCTTCTGGGTTATTTGTTCTCATATGAAAAGAAAAAACAAATGGCATAATGCACCTTTAACATCAGTCACTAGACAATAAAGCAAAAAGAGAGTATAATTTACGTAATGAACTTTGGCTACAAGAAAGCACTTAAAACCCCAGATCTCACTGTTATCACATGATGCAAGCAAAACTACACTGGACCACCCCTTTGTGCTTTTATGCACACACAATAAGCAAAGCAAAAATGCAAACTGGGAATGAATATGTAGAAAATGTAGAAAAACAGAGTGCAACAAACTTTACTTGCTATGCTGATAGATGGTGGATTTACTCAGTACTTAGGGAGTTTTTTGACCCAATACTTTTGCACGTCTACTCAAGTTGTTTTTTGGGAAGGTGCTTTTTCTTTTATTCGAGTCATTATTTTACCCATGTATTAATACTTTTACTTGAGTATGGTTTTAGGCTACCCTACCCACCAAATTTCTCATTGTCTGTTGGCTGAACCAATCGTTCAGTCACGTCACTGACCATCAGAAAAATCAAACATTTGGAAATATCACAAGGGCTTTGATCACTTCAGAGCTCAACTTGAACCATTTTTCTTCCTCCTTCATCTCTTTCCCACCTTCTCAGTGTTAAGAAACAAAACCATCAGATTTGGTGTGATGGTCTCGCTCCATTTCTTTTGTTTGAAAAAAACATACTTGGTGTGAATAGGCCTTGAGATGTCCTAAGGGTCTGTGCCACCTTTTGTTCTCCTGTATTTAGAATTTAATTAGTGAGATTAGAAATGAATAAAGACACATGCACTGTATAGATAGTTAGTATACACACCATTATATGTATGTCAGGAACAATGAGTCCATACGATGAAACAGTGAAGAGTTTCATGCTCAAAGGCCAAGTTTGAGAACACTCAGCATTTAGGTCATCTAATAACTAACTGTAAAATCACATCTGTAGTAGTACTAAAGTATACTATATGAAGGCACAAGGTATATTTATATTTGCCTTATAGTTTATAATCAGGTTCACCAATTACTTGTCCAGAAATGGTCAGATAAGCTCTGAGAGGGAACAGTCAATGGCTGAGATGTCTCAGATGGGAAGGCAGTAAATTAGAAAAATTGTGGTACAGTGTTCAGTCATTTTTCTTCTCCCGTGTCATTTTGATCATGGTTTCAGGCGAGCGGTATAAGAAGATGAGTTTCTCAAACAGTTGTTCCTCCAAATCCATCTCACCAGCTTCCCGGACGACAAAGATGTCAGTGCACAGTTTCAGCACCCGGTCCACATTCGGCAGCTCCTCAAACATGATGGAGCGGGATATTCCGTTAAAGAATTCTCGTACGAACTTACCAATCACCAGCACCACTGACATGTACAGCCCCATGATACTGCACAACAAAACACATAGTTAGAGGCATGCAGTATGTCAGCTGAAATATTCAGCACTTTCACTATATCAGCTAATACATTTCATTGATATTCTATAGAATAGTTGATTAGTATGGTGTTAAAGTCAACCTGAAATCAAAATGGATTTCATGTCTCTGGTCATATTAAGCATAACTTAACTCTGCTGACTTCAAGAGAAACCATAAAGTCTCCTCACCCATATCCGGCTAAGAAGCCCAGGCTGGATGGACTGACTTTGTCATTGAAGACCACAATCTCAATGTTCTGGCACCTCATTGGTGGAGGTCCTGGAGTGCACTCCTCCACCACCCACCACTGAAGCCCTCTGCCCTCTATACTCCCATTGGCTTGTCGCAGTTTGATGGACAGTGGATGGAAGAAAGCTAAATGAAGATCATCTGGGCGACTGGAATGTTCTGTCAATCAGTGCATTAAAACCATGTGATTAAACCAAGTACTTACATCATTATTGCTCATTTCATTAAAACATAAAAGACTTGCCGACAATAAGTCGATGTGCCATTTTAGCCTCTGGTCCGGAAGGTCCTCTGATATATTTAGGCAGCAGTTTGTCAATGATCCTGCAAGAAATAACAAGAAACATGAGAAGAAAATATATATATATATATATATATATATATATTCAGCTAACAGTAAAACAAAAGGGCCTGTTTTATTTTAGTCAAGTATAATGAATTTGTGCATAAATTATTTTTAACTCTATTTTAAAGATAGGTTGGTGGAAAAAAAATATTTATACTTGTTCTTCACAGCTCTCTGACTGCTTTATTGCTATGTCATATAAAATTAGTACATTTAGTACATTTTTTAATTTTTTTAATTTTTTAATTAAATAGTTCAAATGTAAACAATGTCATTCAGAATGGTTTGATAGGAAATGCTTTGTTCTAGAGAAACTTACTGAGTCAGAAGTAATGTAGTGTCGGTTCACTGTGGTTTTGGATAGTGAATAAAATATCTATACACACACACACACACACACACACACACACACACACACACACACACACACACACACACACACAGGGCCAGGGCCAGGGCTCACTGGCAGGCCCAAAATTTTATTGCACACTTCTATAACCTAAGAATAGTTCAGCTAGTTTGCACTGACGCTCCTGTAGTTACTGAATAATAAGCCTTAGTATGTAATAAGCATGGGATTTTCAGGGGTTAACATGAACATATTTGATGCCTTGTTTGAAAATCCAAATCAGCAAACTAATGTTATGATGAGTTCAGGTATGCATATATTCAAATGACCTTTTCTATCCCAGGTTTGTTTCAGGCTTGTGGAAGACACTGATTTACCATTGGAATGCATGTGACAGAGTGACAGAGAGTGACAAAAAGTGTAAAAGACGTATGTGTGTAAACACTTACACTGACTCGCTACGTGTTCCTTGGAGCATCTGCACCAGATTGTCTTTCAGCTCTTTGTCCTCATATTTTACTGTATGTTCACCAGCTGTTTCTGCATTCATCACCAGGGATGCATTTCTGTCGCAAAAACATTACAAATGTCACAAAAAGCCATCTTCTTAAAAAGCATTATTGCAAAAGTGAATGTCTAAAGCCATACACACTGCTACACATGCCATACCAACCAACGATATTCATCGTACTTTTGAAAAAAAACAATGATGGCTGAGGGCAGAAAAAAAGACTAGTACTTTGAGGAGAAACTCCAAAAAAATAGCAGAGGTCCTACTGAGACATTTTAACAAGAAAATGCTAAAGCTACACGGTGTATGATTTTTTTTCTTAAAATTGAAATTGATAGATGTAGCATTACTGAGTCAAGAGAAAAAAAACATGAAAAAATATGGAGTGAATCGCTCTGTATAGCCTGAAATAGTCATTTATTAGTCAGAGGCATCGAGTTGGACTTGGCGGCAGTTTCTTGGACCAAATCATATGTCTTTTTGTATTATTGTCACACACACAGCCTCAAAAAGAAGGTCAGACTCAATGTTTAGGTCTTAAACGCAAAATCAACATTATAGTAATGAAGATATGATGAGAATAGTCAGTAATTCACTTCCATGCTTGAAAGCACATCCAAGTTTTGAGTTATTCGAGTTCTCTTCAAATACTCTTTCAACATTCTCGCAATCATCAGATTCATCTAGGGTTAGGGTTAGGGGTCTGAAGGAATATAAAAATATTTATTTTACATGCTGCATGCATATACACATTTCCACCAGAGAGGACTCCAACTCCCCAAAACGTGCATAGTGCAGCGCTAAACTGAAATTGTAATGTAGTATATAAATCTGTGAATAAAAGCATGTTTCTCATGGGTTTCATGCAAACGTTCTGAAAACTTTCAGAGGGGTCTGTTCATTGTGACTAATGTATTTGTATTCGGTTTCATCCCTAGCAAGTGTGGGTATAAGTGTGTGTGTGTTGGTGTGTGTACCTCAGTAAGGTCCAGCGTAGTGTGACATAAATGTGTGAGGAATTGCTGAGTTCCTGAATCATGGCTTCTCTGCTGGCGGGACTGATGCTCCACAGCAAACTGGCATCACTTTTAACCTTCGCTATCACTATGTCCTCTGCCATGTAGTTTACTATGAATTGCATTGCAGACTAGTGAAGGTTAGAAAGAACAGACATGAGTGAGATCAAATAAAGAAACATCATACATAAACTTGCTGTTTTTTTTTTCAAATGATCAATTTGTAACACTTGAAATGCATTTCTCTCTAGAAATTTTGTTTGTATATTCAGTGGTCCCTGTTCTATGGATGATGGTTTACCGGGTGGGTGGCATAAACATTAGTCATCTTGTGGTACGCAGATTGAGAATAAGGCACCAGATTCTGTTCTTGGGCACTCATGGTGAACAAAGGCTGAAAAATATGAAAACACATATAAAAAGAGAAAGAGAGGAAAATAAGAAAGAGTTAAAGCGTGTCAGTAGTACATCTCAATAATACACATACTGAAACATGTTAAGTTACAAACCTCGTATCCTGCTATGCTAAGCTGGATGGAAACATCTAACGGCTGGTTGGTTACTCCAGCAACTGATTTGACCAATGACATGAAGAGCAGAGGAAACCACACAATGCAGATGAGGGCAAAAATGATGAAACCACCCATGCCATACTTCACCACCTTCTTCTTTTTCTGTCCTGGAGTATGAGGATATTTCTGTGCACAGTGATAGAGAAAGGAGAAATTACTGTACGACATCTGCTTTAATTTAATGATAAACTTAAGGACACACATATAATAAATAATTCAATATATAAATATATAAATAATTGTTTGCAAAATTGCGATTGACACACCTCTCAGGCAAACACAATCAACCTGCAGTGAGAATGCTGGTGGCAGTAAATTAGTCTGAATTATTAAACTAATAAATGGTGGAAAAGTGTTACTGAGGAACATTTTCGACTGTGTCAGTCCTGTGAAGTTTTTCTTGCAGAGGCCACATTCTGCTGTGTCTCAATGGGAGAGCAATGAAGGAGAATTAAAAGATAGTGAAACTCCGTTTGTTCAGAATGATCTTACTCAATCACAGCTCTACTTACCATATAGATGCACTTTGATGTTCAACAGTTACAGACTGTACAGATCAGACATGGCTTTGCTGCTGGAGTTTTTAAACACTGTGTCCACTTACTGTCCTTTCTATTAGACACACCTACCTTGTTGGTCCACCTTATAGATATAGAGTCAGAGACAGTAGCTCATCTGCTGCTGCACAGTTTGTGTTGGTCATCCTCTAGTCTTTCATCAGTGGTCAAAGGACGCTGCCTACAGGACACTGTTGGCTGGATATTTTATTAGCAGTGACACTGATGTGTTTAAAAACTCCAGTAGCACTGCTGTGTCTGATCCACTCACACCAGTGCAACACACACTAACGTGCCACCACCACATCTGTGCTGATAATGATCCACCACCCAAATAACACTTGCTTTGTGGTGGTCCTGGCCATTGAATAACAAGGTTAAAGGGGGATAACAAAGTGTGCAGAGAAACAGATGAACTACAGTCTGTAATTGTAGAATTACAAAGTGCATCTGTACGGTAAGTGGAGCTGATAAAATGGACAATGAGTGTAGATGCAAGGAAGTGTGCTTAATGAAGTGGCCGATTGGTGTATTTGGCGAAAGCCTGAATGTTATTAAATGTAGGCTAATGATGCTGCTGCTTCAGCGTTAAATAGGCAGTGGGGAAGTGGTATGAATGTAAAGAAGAAAAAAGTTGTAGAGATTATGTGAAATTATCTGTAAATAAAATAAACCTTGGTTTCCTAATGTTAGATGAGCCAGTGAGGTGTGTGGACCGGCCATGTGTGGCAATTGTGTTAATAAGTTTGATTTGTTTAGACGGCTTTTGCGCAGTTATCGTTAACTTTAGGGATCACAGTGAAGTATTAAACCCTGTCATGTTGGCTGACATAGCTTACATAGGATCACAGTAAAATATTTCATTTCAGTTTTCTGATGGCTGTTCTCACGTTCAATTGTCTAGCACATAAAACCGGTGGTGCAGTCATACAGTGACGTCACATGAGACAAAGTTTTGGATTAATCTATGTGAAGTATCATACTCACAGCTATGTGGCAAAACTATAAATATACAGACTTATGCTATCTCTTATCTGGGGAATTGTTTTAATATGATGCCTAATCATAAATAGCATTACAGAAAAATGGTAAGATCAGTTAGTTAACTTGTTAGCTATACTTAGCTGCTAACAGCTTGTTAATTAGTCAGATTAACAGGGCTGTACAGCACTCATATTTGTGATTGAAACATTCTTTGAATTCTTTCTATTGTTTAATTAAAATTTATTGAAAGACCTTGTGTAAAAGGCAACTAGTCAGTTCTCAAACATGTATATCTGCAGTGAACATTTTGTAAAGCCAGTTTATCCTTGAATAAAAATGTTTCAAATGTTTCAAATGTACTTCTCTGTAGTTCTCTGAACTGAGCCTTTTAGTCTGGTTGCAGGTTTTATGGCTGCTACCAGGTAGCCTTAAATTTTGATGGACGTGGCAAAAACAAATAATGCTACGTTCACATGTTGGTGTTAAAAATACCCCCCATTCCGTGTCTCATGGCTGTATACGACTGACAGCATACAGAAATATAAAGGTTGCCATGGTTACAGTGTTATCGACAAAAATAGATGATTATCAGAGGAAAGCTTTAGCAATGTTGATTTCTCATTTAAGATAGAAGGATGGCAGAAGGATGATCTGTGCTCTTTTATTTATTTATTTTTTATATGATACTGGGCAATTCTGGACTTCAACAATGGGAGATTCAGCATTCATGGCTCCTAAAAAGAAACATCTGGCATATTTCATCACTGTGGTAGATAGCAAAAGACAGAAAAATTGAATTGTTGTCACTGGTGGTGGCAGAATTTTCTACTGTGGCTCCACTGTAAACAACTGAATATCCAGCTTGTCATCATCCATCTACCACTAACATGTAAATGCAGAAAGTTTGAGGGATGTAGCAACAATAACTAAGGAAAGCAAGACTTTTTTAGAATTTTGCAAATGGTCAAACGGGCAAAGCGATGTACTTGTAAAATTAGACAGACACTATACCTGATCTTTTCATGGGAATGATCACTGTATTATTCCTCAAAATCTACTGACTATTATGCATTTGTGGTCTTCAGCATTGTGACAAAGTTAATGCTTATAAATACTTTACATTTTACCTTCTCAGACTCCCTCCAACACTTGAGAATGAAGATGTTGGCATAGATGTCCTCCACACAGATCCAGCTAGACAGACTGAGGGTGGTATCTGTCCACACCCAGTCCATCACTGCCCGCAGCTCGGTCAGAAATGGGACTAACCGAAACCTGAGACAATGGGTCAGGCACCAAGCCAAACAGAAAGTGACAGTGAAAACTAGACATGGAAAAAAAACATTAATGTGTATTCTAAGAGCTGTTTATGGTACTTCGATGGTTTTTCCTATAGCTTTCAGTCCTAAATGTTCTGTTATGGGTGTTCTTTTTCCCTAGTAATTCCATATTCATACTTCCATACATGGCTTGTGGTATAAATGGTGTGGAAACCACTTACCCTTGGAAGAGAAAGAGGTTGAGGTAGTTGTAGTTCTTAGTGAGAAAGTTGCCAAGGACTCGGTTGGGGTAGCCACATTTGATTTGGTATGCCGACAGACCAAAATAGATGCACTTCACGAAGTACCATAGCTGTGCAACTTGGTTTCTGTTGAACCTCCTGCAAAAGAAAAATGTGACAATAGACGTCCCTTTAGCAAGCTAAACAAGCTATTACAGGGACATAAGTGTTCTTAATGCTGCAATCAAAAATCACAGAAATTGTCTAAAGAGGCTTCATAATACTCTATTACCAGAAAACTTTTTAAAATGTTTCTAATATGTGGATATTTAAATTATTCAAATTTCGAGAGAAAATTGTATCCCTCACATGCTACAGAAAACCAGTTATTTTTTCACTGCCTTCTCTTTAAAAACTGAATATGGACACTGCAGTCAGAAAATGTTGAAAATATTATTAGATCTTGCTTTTTACAACCCCATTTCCAAAAAAAAAGTTGGGACGCTGTGCAAAATGTGCATAAAAACAAAATACAATGATGTGCAAATCATTTAAATCCTATGCTTCAAAGACAACATATCAAATGTTGAAACTGAGAAATTTTATTGTTTTTTGAAAAATATATGCCCATTTTGAATTTGATGCCAGCAACACGTTCCAAAAAAGTTGGGATGGGGGCAACAAAAGGCTGGTAAGGTTGTGTAATGCTTAAAAAACACCTGGTTGTTAATTGGCAACAGGTCAATAACATGATTGGGTATAAAATGAGCATCCCAGAGAGGCTGAGTCTTGCAGAAGTAAAGATGGGGAGGAGTTCACCACTCTGTGAAAGACTGCATGAGCAAATCGCATCAATTCAAGAATAAAGTTTCTCAACATAAAATAGCAAAGAACTTTTGCTTTTCATCATCTACAGTACATAATAATATTAAAAGATTCAGAGAATCTGGAGAAATCTCTGTTTGCAAGAGACAAAGCCAAAAACCAGTATTTGCTGGCCATGATCTTAGGGCCTTCAGACGGCACTGCGTTAAAACGGACATGATTCAGTAGTTGAAATAACTGCATTGGCTCAAAAAAAAATTTGAAAACCACTGTCTATGAAAACAGCTTGGCGCTGCATCCACAAATGCTAATTAAAACTCTTAAATGCAAAGAAAAAACCATATATAAACAGGACCCAGAAACACTGCTGCCTTCTCTGGGCTCGAGCTCATTTAAAAGTGAATGAGGTGAAGTGGAAAAGTGTCATGTGGTCCAATGAATCAACATCTGAAATTTTTTGGGGAAATAATGGACACTGTGTCTTCAGGACCTAAAGACCGCTCAGCTTGTTATCAGTGCGCAGTTCAAAAGCCAGTATTCATGATGGTATAGGGGTGCATTAGTGCACATGGCATGGGTGACTGGCACATCTGTGAAGGCACCATTAATGCTGAATGATATATACATGTTTTGGCAACACATGCTGCCATTTAGACAACGTCTTTTTCAGGGAAGGCCTTGCTTATCTCAGCAAGACAATGTCAAACCACATTCTGCATATATTACAGCAGCACTGCTCTGTATTAAAAGAGTCTGGGCACTAAACCTGTCACCACTGAAAACATTTGGCACATTATGAAATAAAAAATAAAGACAAAGGAGACCCTGAACTGTTGAGCAGCTGAAATCCTATGTTAAGCAAAAATGGGAAAACATTTCACTTTCAAAACTACAGCAGTTGGTCTCCTCAGTTCCCAAACGCTTACAGAATGTTGTTAAAAGAAGAGGTGATGAAACACAGTGGTAAACATGCCCCTGTCCCAACTTTTTTGGAACGTGTTATTGGCAACAAATTCAAAATGGACATATATTTTTCAAAAAACAAGAACATTTTCTCAGTTTCAGGCTTTTGGAACAATTTGATCTGAGTAATAATCTGGTAGGATGGATTCTTGATTTTTTTTAAATAATAGGACACAAAGAGTGAAGGCAAATTATTTATCCCTAGTATGTATCAGAGTATCAGTTGACCATCCTAAAGTATGTAGATGAGTTATTGTTAGTCAGGTCCAAGACAGTGAGACCAGTCACGGCCTGGTCATTGACGACTTTGTAAAGTGGTGTGAGGAGTCCTATCTCTAATCAAATATATCTAAGACTAAAGACATGATAACTGGTTTCAGAAGACACGCCCACAAGCGTACAAATATCTTGGGACAGTTATTGACTCAAAACTGAACTTTAAAGCAAATTGTTAAGCCGTGTGCAAAAAGGGGCACGAGCATTTGTACTGTTTGAGAAGACTGTCCTGTTTTCATCCTGACAAAACCATGATGACCTTCTACTGTGCTTTTATTCAATCAGTTTTAACTTTTTCTTTGGTGGTGTGCTTTGGAAACCTATCTTTAAAGAACAGAAATTCTCTGAATCAAACTGTTAAATAGTCCAGTAGGCTGACCAGTGAGTCTTAACTTAACCTAGAGTCTCTGGACACCAGACGTTGAAAGCAGATAAATGATTCAATTTTAAATGATGACTCCCACTCTTTGAACACTGCATTTCAGCTTCTTCCCTCTGGACATACATATATAGACCCAAAGTTCAGAACAAAGCAGTAAAAATATACAGCAGCCATTACTCAGATGAACAGGTTATAGTAACATTGCACAGAGAACTGGAACCTTGAGTATTTTTATGTTTGTTGATTGCTAATTGTCTGTGTTGTTAAATCTGTGTCAAGATGGATGCGGACTCGTCTACTTCAAACCACATTTACCTACAGGTACAAAATGTAACTTTACCCTAAACCCTAGCAGTACCACCACATACTTTAAAGGAATGAAATAAATACTGGTTTTAAGATTATTTACAGTACAAGATCTTTATTTCTTATTTTAAAAAATCTTTTAAAGTAAAATTTTGTCATCATATCGATGTAATTTTCTTAATTATAGCATATTTTTTCTTGATTTGAGTTATATTTCTCTTTTGATGACACTACTTTTTCTGGAGGAAAAGCTGGTTGTAATGTCATCTCTTTATAGTTATTTTTGCTGACCTTTCTGTGACTCCAGGCAGAATGAAGAACATCCAGAAGTGTATCCCAAACACCAGAACCACCTGGAACACGCACTTCCCCAGCAGGGTTTTGCGTAGATAGAGTGCACGGTCCACTACCATGGTGCCAAACTGGATGAGGAGCATGACCAGGAAGGCCTCAGGAACTTGGTCCTCTGATAAGGATTCAGTGATGTCAGCTGCAGCACTATGCTTCTGCATACATGAACAGAATGAACATACACTATGCTGTAAACAGATGCAGAATGAATAGATTAATGTTATAGGGCAGATTTACTAATGTGTAAACTTTACTTTGGCGTTGAAAAGTGGCTGTCCCGATTAATTAAAAACTGTTCTTTAGTGTCCTTTATGAAATCAAAGATGTGGTTTTGTGCCATTGCATTAGCAGGAGATTATTATAATGAACCAAAACAAAACATTTTTGCATGCCTGCCAAGTCACAAATAATTATTGAAGATTAAATTATTGTAAAAACCTAAAACCAAACTGTTTTAGTAAAACAATGTTTTAAACAGTTATTTTCTGATAATTTGTTAGCTGGCTCCTCCAGCATTTGCTGGCTGCTAATTCACTTGCATAGTGGTGCAGGGGCTAGCTTCATTGGCAAGAAAATAGTTGGTTTAGCAGACCCGTTTTTTGGAAATGCTCTTTTCTAGTTTGGTATTGTGGTCTTCCACACATCAATTAAGATCTACTCGTGTCTTCAGTTTGAGAAATGAGTAACAATTCATGCTTTTGAAATTTCTTGCAAAATTAGACAAATTTTCAGGTTTACAAATATGCTACAGCATATTGGAAAGATTTTCAGAGGTATCCTGGGCATAGTTACAGTTGCCAGGCCATGACAGACCAACGAGCTGAACCAATTTACAGCACCACCCTGAAGCTCCCCAACTGTGGGTGAAGCAGGCTAAACAAGGACCTTTCCCTGAAATTGTATTTGAGCCTCTACTTTTCCCTAACAAACAGAATAATGCCATAATAAGTTTCAGGGATCCCCCAGAATTTTGATTTTGAGACATTCAGGGGGTCCAAGACGTTAATTAGCAGATCCCAAACTCCCCCGGGCCCCCTGCATTTCTCACTTTGCCTCAGAATCATGTGCGGCTGCTCCAGAGCATCCCATTCTATAGAGAATGCTTTTCTATGGAGCATAACTGAACACTTGTGTCAGCAATAAGTAGCTGAATTCAATAATTAGACGTGGCATCTGGATACTTTTGGACATATAGTATATATCAGATAGAATGGATATCCTTACCCCAAAAGCCCAGTATCCGAAGATAATGATGATAAAGTTTACAACATCTATCAAGAACATCAGAGCGTACACATCGCACACAGGGCTGTACTCAGGGTGGATGATGTCATAGAAGAACTGCCTGATGGGTAAGTATATGTGTAGAGCACTAAAAGAAGAAAAAGAGGGAAGTAATTAAAACTGGTTCAAAAACAGTGGAAAACACCACAGCTCTAATCCTCACTGGAGTGATATTACTCAAAGGTTTTAACAGATATCAGAAGTTTCCAAAGTCCTGCACATTTTTTTAGCTCGATTTGTTATTAGTGTACTTTCTAAAAGAAGCATTCCTTCATTTTCCAGGTATAAATGTAATTAGACTGTGACAAGATAAACAGATCATTAAAAATATCTAGCACAGCTTTACATTCAGAGCCATGTCCTTCTTGTTACATGTAGTAGCAGCTGGTGGTTTGGATTTTAAGCACTATGACAGGGACAAAATATTCAAAGTGGGTGGGAGGGCATTTAGGGCATCACATTACTCATACAATTAAACATGTGGTTTTAAGACAGATCACGTGAAATATTTGTCACTTTTGTGTGGGAAAAAGACAAAGTAAAGTCTTGATTTGTTTTGATTTTTTTTCCATTTTATTTTCATTTGGCAATGCTCAATAGCTTAGGCGGATGAGCCGCCCCTAGTTACATACATTTGTACGTGTACAATTACATGTGACCATGTCTAATTTTTCCATTTTGTTTTGTGAACAAGAACATATTTATAAATACTGTAAATGTGCAGAAATGTTGCTGATTAAGCAGGATCGGTGCATCTTTAAAGATCATACATGATGTTTTAAGCAATGAAATCTGCATGCAGTTTTCTCACACTTCTATAATGGCAGCCTTAGCTTCCAGTAGTCTCTCTCTGACCCGCTGTCTGATCTGCTCTTTCCTGGATAAAGGAAACACTTTGTGTTGCCGTTTCTTCTTCTTTGAGTGATTCTTCTTCACCTGCTCAATATCTGTTGAAAAAACATAAAACACACAAATACACAAATATTAGTGTACAGCAGTGCACATTTTTAATACAATCTAGAAGCTTTCCATGCTCAAACCCCACTAACCTGGCATCTCACATCAAAAACTCATGGTACATCAGAAGCAGCAGAACAAGCACAAACTAAATGAAACTTTGATCAACTTCTAGCATCATCAAACGCAGCGAAAACTCTCTGCCAGTCCGCTCAAATCCACGAAAAGGAGATAAGCTTCTATTAAAGGTCAGAGGGCAAATTGAATTAAGATTTGCAAACTTACACCAATTACAAAAATTGGACATTTACTGTAACATTTTGCATTAGGAGACTGAATAAATCAAAACACAATAATAAAGTGGTTTGTGACTGTATTAAACTCTGTGTTCTACTGAAATTCTTCATGCAGCTTCACTGCTCACCAGCAGAGGGAGCTGCTAGCACACAGACAGAAGCAGCTGGATCTGTAAGTCAAACTACACTGAAAGTTCCAACTTCCACTTAAAACAAGTAATAACAAAGACAGCTTTGTTTATTCTATCACCTGTTGTGCATTTGTTTGTTTTAGTTTTTTAATATTTATAACTGTTTATTTAGCAAAATGAACATTATTTATACAATTTAGCTTAACATTTGGCCATATTAGTCAGTGGTGTTTCTGAGAGCCGAAGTTTACTGTTCATACTACATTGTTTATAAATTTATTGACAGAACATAACTTGTACATTCCTTAATTATTTCCTGCTATATTTAAGCTGTTTTTCATTGTTTTATCAATGTGGGTGTAATACGTTTTAACCTTGTTCTCTAATAGTCATTATTACTATGTCACAAATTCGACAGGCAACGTACTAACAAACCTCTTTAGAATGTTTGGCTGTGCAGTGTCCCATAGTACAACATGTTAGAAATATGTTAAAATAGCTTGATTTACTTAATGAAGATGTTTGTAACTAGTTTACTAATTCTATTACATTTTATTTATTTTTCATTACATCAAACATACTGTATGACAATACAACATTTCTTCAGCCTTACAATTCAACAAATTGCAATCAGTTCTGCCAACTGTCTTTGCTTTCATCTCTTCTGGAATAAATGATCATTTAAAGGGGAATTCTATCCATTTTTCAAACTTTGACTAGAGAGACTTTCACAGAGATATTTAGAGATATATAGAAAGTCATTATATGAATACACTGCCTGATGCATAGGACAATGTTTTACTATAATTCTGACATAACCTTTTGGGGTAAAACTTATTTTTTAAAATCCATTCATGGTGGAGAGGTACATGCAGGGTGCTGTGAGGCAAATCAGTCCCCAAAGAATTTAATCTTTCAGATTTAGCACTATTTTATTGTTATTACCATTACATGCCAATATTCATTTTACATCACACACAACACACAAACACACCATGGCTATCAGAACTCTCGCCACCCCTCTGCCTGCAAAAAAGAGAAGCAGTGGAGGTCTGGAGCGGAAGGAAGAGGAGTCGTCTTCTTGTCTCTCCCTGCTCTCCTCTTGTCACTCCACTCTGCCTCTTCTTCTCTGTTTTCTTCTTTAGCTTCTTAAAGAAATCAGGCATCTCCACCTCTTTGTTGTCCCAGAGTCCATGACACTGCAAATCCAGCAACAAACACATGCACATCTTTTGTCACAAATGTAGAATGTGCTTAAGGAACTAATGCCATTGTTCAAATGTAGTCAATGGCTAGACTGGGCTAGTGATAGATAGAGCAAGTCAGCTTGCGCAACTTCGTTCATTTAGTTAATAGCTATGCTCAAATGTTGTCTATATAAACAAGATGATTTACATGTGTAAACACATGGTAATGCTGATCTAACAATCAAAGAAGACATGTGCTCATTATCCACTGCGATAAAATGCAGAAAAGTAAACTGATGGACTCAAATGGACTCAGGTTTGGCAGTCGAGCCGCTGTGCTCCAGTTTAAAACTGCCTCCAGGAGGGCTTGATGGGTTTTTAGGATAAAACTCAAGCATGTCTCAAACTAGCAAAGTTTTTATTGTAGTTTGTTGGCGAGTACGCAAATTACTCTAAAAACCTCATCTCATCATGTGAAAACACACTGTAGGTGTTATGCAACATCATAACAGTTATGTGACTGGAATTTTGGACCTATTTGTCCAGCAAAATGAATTGCTCCCGGATATCAGGACTATCATCAAAAATTCCCAGCAGAAATATCCTCAGACACACCCAAGAGAGAACTAGAACGAGGAACTATAGTTGTATGCGCCATGAATGTAAGTTAACACATCATCTACAGAGAACAAGCTACTATACATTTTAATGCTCAATTACTGTTGTTTTGTTGTTGAATTTAACATATTGGGAAAAATATAAAACATAGGATGTGGCCTGTGCTAACGTTATGCCACATTTTAAATTTTATGGGTTTTTTTCAATATATTAAACTCAACAAATATATAGAAATAGTGCACTGAAATCCACAATAAAGCCATTTGTTCTTTGTAGAGGATATGTTAATTTATGTTTACTTCAAATCAACAAAACATTTGACTGGGTGTTCAATCTTTTGCATACAATTGTATATCTAAAAGACATAAAAGTAAAAGGCAAAAGTATGACAAAAGTAGTGCACCTTATAGTTGACCACACTTGTTTTAGCTGAAGAGTCTACCACTTCTTTTTGTGAGTTTTGGTGGAATGTCCATCTGTAATTTTTCTGCCAAATCAGTATGAGGAATTTAAAGAAAACTAATAGTTGAATCGCTAACAGTCTTTGCTGTTAGGGATTCAACTTTTCAGCTCTTAATGCAATTCAGACAATACACAGACACAAGATCTCTCAAACTACTGTCACTGACTGACAGTCTTTAAACCTCACTGTCAATGGTATGCTGACTTTGTCTCATGAGGTCTTTCCTTTTATAAAAGTAAAAATAGAAAAATAATATATGTTTATGTCTATATTGTCTCTGATATATTTATCCACCTGAAGCTCATTAAAATCTACAAGTATATTAACTGTAAAAGTGATCTAAAAGAAAATGTTCTACACTGTTGGAAATGAAGGTACTGTGCAGGTACACTTTTCGTTCATCACGGTACAAACAATGTAAATGTTCCCTCAAAGGTACAACAGTGGTTTTTAAGGTATAATTGTGAACCTTAAATTAGTTTTTCCAGGGGAAAAGTAGGTATTTGTACCTTTTCATAGCCTAATGTTTTAAAACAGAACAATAACATAAAAAGGCTGAAGTGAGACTGAGTGTGTGGAGTCAACACAACTTAGAAAACATTTCATTGGATTATGGTACAATTATGTTCCCTGACTAAAAATACTGAAATGTACCACTGAGGGTACCACCCCAGTGACAAGAAGGGTGCTGCCCCAGTGACAGTTTCATACCTTTATATCTGAGAGTGTATACACTATCTTATAGCTCTAATCATGCATTAAATCTGTACGCTACTTTAAGTGCAAATTGAGAAAAAAATATGTGATGTGTACAATATGTGATTTTACAGAACCAAAATGCCAGCATCACCTTGAGGATGGAACGATGGAAGAAAAGAGCGAGCAGCTGGATGAGGTCAAACAGAACGTAGCCATCTTTCTTTTCCACTCCCACAATGTTGGGCAGGGCGAACGGACGCTCTGCGTTAATCCCACGATACGCAGAGGTAGTCCATGGAAAGAAACCAAACTGGAAGAAGTACTTCACTACAACAGTAAGCTGAAAGACAGAATAACACAAATAAATAGAGTAGAATGAGTCATAGGTTGCACGGTAAGTCTAGCTCGCACAAACAAATCCCAAAACTTGACAATTTAGGGGACTTAGATAAACTATGTCAAGCTTGTGGTGGCCACATTTCTCTGTTCTAACCTCAGTGTAGATGATGGCGGTCATCCAGAATCGCTTGGTGGGCCGTGGCACGGATAGCATGGCCCAGAGGAAGATGAGGATGGGGAGGAAGAGTGTGAGCAGAGAGGCAGACACCATATGGTTGAGGATGATGACGAAGTAGCAGAGCATCTCTGACTGGGAGACCATGGTGTTATAGAGGGCGAAGATGAGTCGCAGTTGACGTGGTAAGGAATGGTAGAACTTATCAGACTCGTCGATCTCTGGGATCTGAAACATACTTTGGGTGTGGGAGCATGAATAAGCTTTTTGCTGCTAATGACAATAATGAACATCATGTTGATAAAGGGGTAAATGGCAAATAAAAAAAGTTTTCAAAATGCTAAAAAAATAGAATGTGATGTGTATTTTTGTCTCTGCAAAATCTATTAAATGTATTGATTTGTTTCATATTAATAAAAATATATTTAAAGTTACTTACCACTACTGAAAACATATAAACTACTCTTTGTATTTGGACAACCATATACACATTTGTCCTTGGGCTTATAGTAATTTTTTTATTTTTTTTTAATAAATAAACTTTTATAATTATAAAAATATACAACATATAATTGTAATAAAAGCACGTTTTCATGGTTTTCCTGGGGTCACACCACCTGACTAGTAAGCTGAACCAATCTAACCCTGACTCAAAAACAACATTTTTTAATATTTGTGAAAGAGCTACTGACCTCAGCATCACACCATGAAGTTCTCTTGGGGGTTCATTTATGTTGCAATACCCTGCCCACTTTTTAAATCAAATATTCCAGTTTTAGATTTGTAACTATTAGTTATAAATTTATACATCTCTTTTTATGCATGTCACTTTAGGAGACAGATGAGTCTGAGTGGATTTTTGTTTACCTAGACATCAGCGAAGATGCAGAAGTTCAAGACAAACAGTTTAAGTGGTTTACAGAATAGATAGCTAAGTTCTTATTATATCGCTAAAAGTTGAAATTCCACTGTGAGTGAAATAACTTTGATAGGCAAACACAAATGCCATTCAGGACTGACAACACAGCAAGTTATTTCAGTATTTTATGTTAAATTTGTATAGATTTTCAGCCAGTCTGAAGTTACAGGAAGCAACTAAACTGTTCAACTAGCTTGCTGTCTCTGTCTCCGTCTCTCTGGTCTGTAGTGGGCAAACAGACTAAGGACATGTCTAGATTATTCACCTCAGTGTTGTTCAACAGTCAAAACTGACAGACAAACAAATTCCCACAATGTAAAAGGCATCTTGTAATAAAAAATAGGGGGAAAAATAAAAGTGAAAATAATTGGTGTTCTGATTTGCTGGTGTATTCCCTCATACTCCCTTAATACTTTTACAACATCTACTTTTTTAATGGTAAATTTTAATTCATTATGGAAATGAGAGTTCATATATAAAGCTCCATTGGGCCTCATCTACTCCCCTGTTTATTGTGTCCTGTGCTACTAAGTGTTTGGTTTGTGCCAGGTACACAACTGACACAGCATATTTGTGATTTGTGAGACATAGAGAAAGAGGTGGAATGTGTATCTCACTTGTTAAGCAGCAGTTCGCTGGCAGTGAGGGCCCTGGTCTCCTGACTAAGTGCCTGAGGTTCTGGAATGTTCTCCCTCTTCGGCACCATGGCCAAAGAGTCCAACGACAATGACTTAAGTAAAACACGTTTCATTTCAAAGTGATCTTCTCCTTGTTCCTCTGCCTCATTTTCTTCTTCTTCCTTCTTTTCCCATTCCCTATCCATTTCATCTTCTGCCTCTTCATCCTCTTCATTTACAGCAGACGGTTCATCATGACTTCAAAGAAAAAAGAACAAATAAGAGAAAACAGAGCTGTAGAAGAGCAATAGTCTTAATCCTAGAATAGTGAGATGTTTGCAGTTCTGAAATTTGGTGTCAGTTACACGACTTACAAAATCGACATTTTGCCCTGAACTTCTGCATCATACATTATAAACATTATAAACACACTCATATATTTGCCAAAGTTCAAAATGCTGCTCCTCCATCTCTGTGTATACATGTCTCTTGGTCTTTTTTCTCTCTCTCTCTTATTTTTCTCATTGGCTGTTGCTTGAATTGCTCGCTCAGTGACATCACTGACAATCCCACCCTATATGGTTTGTGAATGTTTACAGCTGTAAAAATCAAACATGTTACTTGAGATCTCAATCAGCTAAAGACTCATTTCCCCTCTCACACTACCAGATCATCCACACTGTCAGGTGCTTCTGTTTGAGGTGCTGACCTGGGATTTTGCTTTTAATTGTCAAAACTGTCAGAATGGCTTCAGTGAATGAAAAGACCTAAAAAATCATCAGTCATCAGGTGCTTCTGTTAGAGGTCCTGACTTAGAAATTCACTTTTTTTGTTTACACATGCTGAGTAAACAAAATCAAAAAGACTGGGGCTGGGAGAGTGTATATTAAAGTGGTAGGCAGACAGCTTCCAAAGTATCAGTTTGGCTTTACTGATACATATATTTAAAGCTGATTATTCTTATACACACACACACACACACACACACACACACACACACACACACACACTATCTAAGCTGCTTATTCTCAGCACTCATTGGGCAGAAGGCAGGAAACACCCAGTACAGGCCACCAGTCCATCACAAGGCACGCACACACACTAACAACTAAGGGCAATTTACAATCTCTAATTTGCCTGACTGCATGTCTTTGGACTGTGGGATGAAACTAACACAGACATGGGAGAACACGTAACACACAAAAAGGACCCTGGTCACCCAGCTAGGGAATCAAACCCAGGCCCTTCTTGCTGTGAGGCAACAGCACTACCCACTGCACCACCCCTTTACCTCAATAGCAACCAAGTAAACAATAGTTTTGCCTCACCAAACATGCAATAGCAGTTTCACTACTAGAAGTGTAATTCTCCGTGTTTTACACCATTTCTGAATTCCGGGCCAAAGCTCTACAGAGATTAGTGCTTTAAAACTTCTAACAATCTGTGTTCAACTCATGATGGTCTTGCTAATTAGCTGACAAGTTGAATCAGGTTTGTGTAATGAGGCAAAAACTCATAAAGCAGGTCGTACTCTGGCAGGTGACTCTCTTGGTCAAATGATGTCATATCTACATTAGCACATTTCAGGAGTTTCCGGCGTAGCTGTTGAGCTGTGGGTTGAGAGATGTGTTGATCTGTTTTGGGTGAAGCTGAACGGGGTTCATCAATGTCATCTTGAGTAGGCTGACGTGACATCAGCATGGTCTCTTCGGTCAAGCAGCTAAAAAACAATCATACAGACATTCATGTACACACAATGTAGTATGTCACTAAGATTTAAACTATGGATGATCAGTTCTGGTCCTGGTGAATCAGTGTCCAGCAAGGTTTGGTGATTTGACTAAACTCAGCAGTGGTTCTGGTTGAGTTGGGAAATAATCAAACTATGCTGGACCCTGGTTGGACACACATGATTTAAACCAAAATAAATGTTACTTTTAAACAAACATACATCAATCTATATCTAAATCAGAAAGGTATTTGTATGTAATAAAACTAAACAAATTTTTAAAAAGGTTTTTTCATATAACTGGCACCTGGAGACACTGCTACTCCAGGACAGCTTGGAGTTAGCACTCTTTAGTTTGGCATAGCCACGAGGCGTGGCAGGCAATGGTGGTGGTGAAACAGAAGGTGTAGCTAGCTCCTCATCCAGCAAGATCTGTGTGCTCTGTCTGGACAGATGGGTCTGGTAGAACTGAAGGATACTGTCATGGGTGACCTCCCTGCCCTAAAGACAGAGAGAAAGAGACAAAAGGAGAGAGAAAAGGAGAGATCAAGAGACAAGGCTTCAGCTTGTAAAGCATCTATCAAGTGACAAATCATAACTGAAAAACAACATTTTCATTTCATATCAACATACTGTGTATCTCTAAGACTGAAGCTAATCATGCACCTTGTTCTGCTGCTGGCTCAGCAGTGCTCTCTCCAGGCGCAGCACCTTAGAGATGTCCAGATTGTCCTTACAGAACGAGTTCAAGCCTGCTGTCAAGTCATCGATGAGGGACAGAAGGAAGATCCAGCTAAACCTCAGAAAGTCAAAGATCCGCTGGTAAATGTGTTCTATAAGAAGGAAAATAAAGTTGTACTTTAATCAAATCTTCTATATACACTGATTTTAAAAATATAAGACGAGCAGAAAATAGGGATGGGTGATATGGCAAACAATGTATTGCCATTTTCACTATTCATGATAAACATCACAATTACTGTTGTACAAAACAAACATAAATTGCGATGACGCTCCGGCATCAGAAAAGATTTCGGTGGCTTTTACCTAATAAAAGCTGATGTGTATTGGTCCAATTCAAGGCAATATATGTTGTTTTACCTTACCTGTACTCTGAACATTAAAACATGTAAAATAGCAAAAAATGATTTTATGCAACAAAATTGACTGTTGTAAATTCCCATGCTAATGTGCTCAGTGCTAATTACACATCATGTTCACTCAAGACAGCTAGGTGGGTGGTCAGGGTAAACAAAACTGTGTTTGTACCTTTTTTGATTGTAAGCAGATGAAAGTATTGAGTATGAAACCTTTTAGGTGTACCTGTGTAAATGTGTACATGTGTAAATGGAGTACCCAGTCCTATTTTTCCAAGTTATACTAAGATTTCTAGTGTCCAGCCACACGTTGCATGCAATCCCACATTTCTACCAGAGAGGTCTCCAAATCCCCAAGCCTTACATAGTGTAGCTTTAAGTTGTATATCAGTTACACTGTAACTCTATTTTAGCTGTGACTTTCTAACATTTCATTATATGTTGTTTGTATCATTCACAACTTCAAAAGCACTTCACTTCAAGTATTTGTTAATGATACCTTTCCCTTCTTCCTCTGGTTCAGGGCTGGCTTCATCCAATTCATCCTCACTGGACGCAGCTCTTTCTATGCCTGTAAACGTAACCACACTACAACATCCTTATAATACTTCTTTTTGCTTCTGCATATAGTTTAGTACAAATACTTATAACTTACTTGAACCTAACTTTCTAGAATAGCATTCGAGTAAATGTGCAATTTTTCCAACAGACTATAAGACCCTCCATTCCACTGGAATTGTGTTCACACAATTCAGATTTTGACAAAATGTAATGAGCAGTATGGCATCTGGGCCATGTCTGGATCAGTACTTTAGCACAGTAATGCTATTTAAAGCAGAAGCATGTAGTTTTGGCTTATTTACAGTTATTACCAAGGGTATCTACACTAATGCGTAACTGTATATACTGTACCCCGCTCTCTTTGCAGCTCTTTCTTGGCTCTCCTCCTCTCGACTCTCCTCAGCTGAGCTTCCTCCCTCTCATGACCCCTGAGCGCAGCCTTGGATCCTGCTACCCAAGCCTCGTAGGCCAACTGTGGAGGCAAAATAGGAGAAATCTCAACTGGAGAAATGAATTGGTGTGTGATGGGTTTTTAACTTTTTCTTCTTGTTATTTTTAACCTGAAAGGCAGATTTTTTCTTTGGAGCAGACTCTTCCTCTTTTTTCTCCTCCACTCCACATTCCTCTTCCTCACTGTCACTTTCAAAGAGGCGATACTCACAGGAGTCCCAGACTACATTTTCACAAACACACACACACATACACACACACATTAAAACAGTGAAGTCTGACTAAGATTTTTTTATTTTCTAAGAGAGGCGCTAATTACTAACAGTCTACTGACACTTTGTGCTGGTAGACATGGCCACTTTAGTAAGAACTAGGCTAAGAACCAAGAACTAGGCCTGTCACAATTATTACATAATCGCAGTTATGTGAAATGATCATAATTATTTAAGATGATGACAATTATTTAAGTTGACTGCAATAGTTTTCCACAGTTGTTAGATTTCCCAGTTGTTTTATGCTGCAACAAGCAAAATGTTAATTGGGTGCAATGGGTTGGGGCAAATAAATGTAATTTAAAGCAGTCTATGCACAGATCATGAAAGGTATAAAAACCAAAAAAAGTTCTAATTTTGTGTACTAACATATTGAAAGGGCAGCGTGAGTCATGCTTGTTTATTTGCTAGCTATATATCTAATTCTGATGTTTTTAGCATATGTGCAAACAGAATGATTGTTTTTTTGCTTATACTTCCACTCAAGAAAACCTGTTGTCTTTCTGCTATTTTCAATTAAATACAGGGTTTAAATGATTTGCACATCATTCCGTTTTTATTTACATTTGTCTCAGCGTCTTAATTTTTTGGGAAAAGTGGTCGTATGTTATTTCAGAATAATAAGTAATTATTTAGAGAAAACAAGACATTTTTTCGACATGTCCGAAATTTTACAAGTAAGTGATTCTGTTGTGACTATGTTTTAAAGCATATGCTCATTTTAGGCTGGTGGGATGAGCTGTCAAATCATTATTTTGGACATTTTGATGAGTATTGTAAAATGTGCTCAAAATATTAGGAAATTATTCATGTAAAACATGATTTTAAACATTTAAACTAACTTTAAACATAATTAAACCTAACTGTTTGTCTCGTAATTGTCTGTCTCTGAGCACAAACAATGGCAACCACGTTAGCAGCAAAAAGAAGACAAGCATTTTACAGGCGTTAAACAGCACACAGTCAGTATTTACTATCAGTCTTGATAAACTCCTCATGGACGTTAAAGAGCTGTTGCACCTGTTTAATACATTTCAAGAGCAACTTTCTCATCTCAAAATAGAAAAAGCTATACTTTGTAAATTTGGGGGATTTGAGATTTGGAGATCTCTCTGGTGGAAAAGTGTAACTGCATGCAAAGTGTGGAAGAACATTGTGTATAATGTGATAAGTGAATTATCTACTTTTGTCATTATATCCTTATCAGTATAATGCTGATTTTGCATTTGAGACCTAAACATTGAGCTGTGTTTTTTATGCCTTTGTATGACATTAATATAGAAAGACGTACAACATGGTCCATTTTAGGCTTTACAGGGTGACTTGTAGCAGGGCACATACACCAATTTTTTGTGTTTTTTTCCTACTGATTCAGTAATGCTATTTCATTCAATTGTAACAATTGTAAATAGTGCATCTATAGTATATATATATATATATATATATATATATATATATATATATATATATATATATATATATATGTATATATATACTTAAAACTCACCTGAGGGGCGAGAGACCCATGGCTTCCACCATTTCCCCTCATCACCCTCCCCTGGAAAATATCATCTTTACTGTCTAATAATCACACATTCATTTTCATAAAAAGCAATTCAGAAATGTCAGGGAAGAGCATACTGCATATTACTGACAACAACAACCAACCTGTTGGCTCTGTGTCACTTTTTGGTTTAGGGTCGTGCGCTGGTTGACTCTTTTGTTTTGACTTTATTTTCTCCATCCTAGAATACAAGTGTAATCATTTTTAAACAATCTACACACACACAAACACACATCCATGCACGCACACACACACACACACACACACACACACACACACTCACACACACACGCACACACACACACATACTGTTTCTTCAGAAGTTTCACAGATTTCTTCTCCATCTCCAGCCTAGCTGCCACCCGTTTCTTCACTTTGGCTTCAAACAGCTCTGCACCCCTTTAACACAAGAACACATTCATACAACTATACATCTATATATATATATATACCTTCACCTGACTATTTCAGCTATTTCACCACTACCAAAATGCCTGAAAATTTAATGTTGTGCTCTTTTAAAATCTGGGTTCAACATCAACTTTTTCCAGACCAAAAATGTACTGTACTGTCCCGAAAAGAGATTATAGATTATACTGGCTCAAACTAATTTTTGCTTTTAAAAATATTATTTACATATTAATTAGCAGAAGTACATGTTCTTCCTCAGGGCAAACTATTTATTCTTAAGCTATTATTATAATCATTATTATTATTATTATTATTACTATTATTACTAATATTAGAATTATTATTATTATTATGTACTCTTACTCTTCAGTGGAAAGTGGGAGTCATGTCATAAAGCAGAAGTTAGGAACTTTCTCAGCTTTCTCACCTGCTTTGTCTCTTACGCCCTCTTCGCTAGCATTTTGAATGATGCCTTGTGCTACACACAACAGTAACAAACAAAGTGATTGGCTAGATTTAACTAACTGGATTACACCATTTTTCCTGGGGTGAGGAGGTGTTCGCAAATGAAGTAAATGAGGGCAATATCAAGTATGTTGTTCACTGAATCGATTGTCCCCAAAAATATTAAAAAAGTCAGCAAGTAGTTTTCAACATTGCTGTCCAGAAGTAGCATTTTGCTTGCACTGGGCAATTAGACATTGTTAACGTTGAACCCTGTTTGAAGGTTTAACATATATAGACCATCAGAATACTGAAAACTGAAACTGGACATCTGAGATGTGAAATAAGGTTTTACAGACTGATGAGTCTTAATTTCAGATCTTTAGAAGTAACAGAATGAACAGCATGTGTGCCACAGCAGCAATGAAAGACTACTTGAACCCTTGTCTACAGCAATCAGTTCAGTATAAGTGCACAACTGATGATGTATAACTGCAGTCAGCAATTTGTTTTTGATTGAAGGCATCATAAGTGCTGAGAAAAATGAATTTTAAAGCATCACACAGTACCCTCTAGAAAACATCTTACTCACTTAGTTACTTTCTCACCTGGAAGCAAGGATCTTCGAGGCTCTAAGGTCAGACACAACATACAGGAAGTAGTAGCTGAGGAATATTCTCCTTTGAGCCAACAGAGCAGCAAAACAAATCGCATCCCACACAATACCAGCCTCTCCTGCTGGCAACTCACACTCATCATCAGGTTCAGCTGTGCATACAAACACATACACAAACAAGCAGCACATATAGAGAGATGTGCATGCAGATGTGCTACATGTGCAAACAGACATACACAAAAAACATACTACATAAAGACAACCAGAAAGAACCATAAAGCACTCAACTGTTAAACATTACACTAGCTTGTTTGGTGAGGTGTGAATGCCCTGGTGGAAATGCAAGAGTGGCTTTAGCAGTCTAAAGTGCTTCAACATTTCAAATGGTTGATATGGTAACAGGCCACTCTTTAAACATCAAATACTATATTTAATCAAATTTCTATGACTATGACTAAAATTGACCTGAACACTCCATACTACTGTTATAACGCTGATACTGTAGGATAATGCAAGGTTATTGTCACTTACGCACATCGTAGCCTTTAATAGTGCAGAACATGCTGAAAGCTTGAATAAGCCAACAGCCATTCTTCAGTAAACTGTCCAGATAAGCACAGGATCCCAGCTAGAGTCACACACACAGACACACATGGTCTTTAACATCAGTGGATGTTACTATAACTTACAAAGCTTTCATGTATTCCGTCTTTTTTGTGATCAAAAGTTTTTATTTGTTTTTTATCTTTCCAATCAAGATATTTCAGTACAAAACTATGGGCATATCTAGGGCCAAATAAATAAATAAATAAATAAATAAATAGGGCAAAAGGGGAACTCTCAGGGCTTTCTAGGTTTAGAGAGAAGACCTGAAAATTTGTGGGAACTAAAAATGCAATTTTTATTTATCTTTAGTTTAATAGAATCATGTTTGTACGTAAGTTCTGCAAGTATAACAGTACTACTCTTGTTTAATTAAGTACAGGATGGAAACAAACAGGTTAATTTCTTAAAACACCAAGCAGAAAATTGGCCAATCATTAATTGTTTTTCTCTGTGGTCTCTGGGTAGATAGGGCTAAGCGAGCTCTCCTAATGGTTAGGCCTTCAAAAGCTGAAGAGAAGTTCTAATGCAGATGAATCAGCCAATTATTTTTTGAAATACAATTTCGTGAGAAAAAAAAAAAGCATAACTATAGGCCTTCTAGAAGTCCCAGATACATCACTGACTGAATACGGATGGCAGCCTAATCAGTGGGGTGTTAGAAATGGAAAACAGCAGCAGCAGCTCTATACCATCTTCTCTACTAAAAGAGTCACTGTGAAACTGCTACAAGGTAAAACATATGTTAATATGTCTGTCACAAGCTTCATGAAAACATGGATTGTTTTTAGAAGCTTCAAATGTCTGTGTTTATTGTACTGCATTTTTTTTTTATTTCCGTTACACATTGAACACTGCAGCAGGTAAACTCTGGTGCCTAAATGATTCAGAATGTAACTGCTGTACCTTTTAAGGTTATATTAGATTCTGTAGGAGGACTGACATCTGAACCTGAAACTGCTTACGAGCATGGCTATTTATCCAAGGAATTTAATAAAAAATTAAGCTGCTGATCAAGCGTTCATCACACTTTTAACAAACAATTCCCCATGGCTAAAAGACAGTAAACGTTACTTGTGATGCTAGCTATCTTTTACATTCCCTTAAAGTCACTGTACAAAGGGAATAAGAGCGCTTTTTTTCTTTCTTAATGTGGAATGTTTCTGAGTTAAACAGGCTACTTTGGGCAGGAAATAATTGTGGCTGGGGAATGATTTTACTTCTAAGGATTTGACTGGGTCATGAAAACATGGAAACAAATATGGAGTCAGACTTTGATAGTCAGCAGAATCTGACTCTGCAGAAAAGCCAAAGAAAACAGAATTGTCAAAAAATGAAGTAGAACAACATTTTGATTTTGCCTTTTTTGTACTTTTTAAGACAAAAAGAAGAGCGACGCACCAGTTAGCAGGGTAGCTTTTTAGCTTTTGCTTTTCTTACACTTTTACAGCAAGAGCAAGAGAAAAAGACTCAGAAAAAAGAAGACAGTTTATCATTAAAATAAAGCCCTGTACAAGTGTAACTACCTAACATGCATAAGGAAGAGTTGGACTGTGTGTCTGTGTGTGTGTGTGTGTGTGTGTGTGTGTGTGTGTGTGTGTGTGTCAGTACATGTCACTCTGTCATCATTCCATCCACCTCACAGCCTCACAGTGTGGCAGAAAACGTTAGGAAACAGTGCAAATACTTTAATCCATCATTTTACAACTTATATTTAACTCAATACTTGGTGTTTCCAGTTTACTTCCCTGCTTAAATGTAACATTACACTGCAATTTAGAGTGAATCTTTGTACATACCATTACCACTTTGTTACTCAAAATAATTTTGAGATATTTTACTATGTTCTTGACCAGCTTAATAGCTAGAACTTGTTAGTAATTTAATTAGAATTTAATTTGACTTACTCAGTGCTTATCATCACTTTAAATAATTACACAGCATTTAGGAGCTTGTAATACAGACTTACTCTGTGAATACTAATTTAGTTAAGCTGTCTCAGAACTTACCATGATATTACCCAAAATAATTATCTAGTACTTTGGAATTTGCACCTCATAGTTACCTGGTTAATACTTGAGACTATTAAAGAGTTACCAAGTTACATCTGTTAATTTAAATCTGAAAAAATCAAACCTGTGAATCTTTCTCTCCTAGCAACATACACTCCATAAATGTTCCAAAAATATACTTACCGAGATCAAGTTCTTCAGGCAAATGACCACAGAGGTATAGGCAATAAGGCAGTCCCATAGTCTGAGTATATATCGTACAGGCTGCAGCAGCACAGTGTCTCCAAACAGCATAAAGTAGAAACAGGCCACCAGATAGCCCAGACAGAAGATGTTAATACGAGTGGTGCCAGTGATGAAAACAAGGCACAACACCAACCAGAAGAAGTAACTGAACACAAAAACCTTTGCCATGTCAAGATATGACCTGAAAACACACACACACACACACACACACACACACACACACATAAAGAAGTTTCTGTGGTTGTTTTGATGAATCCATACATAATGTGATCCAACAAAAAAAATTACTTTGGTCAAAATTTGAGCTGGGCAATATGGCAAATACGTAATATCACAATACTCCAAGAAGTTTTCATGATACACAATAAGAGACGATATTCATTTTTCCTGACATCTGATAAACTAAAAGAGACACATTAAAAAAAAACTATTAAAAACTATGAATCTAGTGACTTGTATTTAACATTTCACATACTGTATTGCACTATATCTTATTAAACATGTAATTAAAAAACCTAGTTATGCTCTCTTTGTAGTCAAACATGCAGGTGGGAAGTGTTTTTGCTACTGATGATATCCACAATATGCTCAGAAAAGCATGGTGAGACTTATTGTGATGTAATTTATCACAATAATGATAGAAATGATCATATTGCAAATAATGAGCCCAGTCTTCAGTCATGCTGCATCACGGGTAGGTCGATATTTAAAGCCACACTATGTAAGATGTGAGGAGTTTGGGATTTAGAGACCTCTCTGGTAGTAAAATGTGTAATTGCAGACAACATGCAGAAAAACACTTTTCCCAAGAGGATGAGTCTGATGATTGCAAGAGTGTTGAAAAAGATTATCTACTACTGTCATCACGTCTTCATATGTATGATGTTGATTTTGCATTTGAGGCCTAAACAGTGGCTCACCTTACTGTTCAGCCTGTGTGTGATGTTAATACATAAAGACGAATGATGTGGGCTGAAACACTCCACAAAATCCAATTCAACACCTCTAACTTTGAAATGATTATTTCAGGCTTTATAGGGTGTTTTTCTTTTCCTGACTGAGTAAGGCTACTTCCTTCAGTTTTAACCAAATATCTTATGTAATGCAGCCTTAATATAATGTGAGACATTTACAATTTCAATATCTAGCAATATAACTGCAAACCACATTTTAGTACACGCATTGTGTCAAAGATGTAGGAAATAAGAAGAAACCAAGGCAGAACTTCGTGAAGAGCTGGATAAGGTGTGATTTATAGCAATTACAACACACAGCTAGACTTCTCAGGCTGTTCTACCAGCTATTTCACTTGATGCACTTGATTTAATTTGGTTGCTGTTTACATTTTTATACTCACTAATTGGTACAATTGCTCTCCCTACTGACATTTTCATTTATTATTCCTGTTGATATTTTGTTTCACTTGCTGATGTTTATATTTATTTGACTTGGGTCTGTTATTTTCTCTTTGTTTTGCAACAATTTTGTAAAAGAGTAACTCTTCAAAGTAGTTTATTTTATTCTCCTTCTGGTTTGTATTTGCACATCTTGCATTAATCTTGCGTGCAATAAAAAAATCAGAGGTTCAAAGTTGGTTACATTTTCCATGCTTAATCATAATCGTGGCCCAGAAACTGAGGACTGAATCAAACCTTTCAAAGGGTGAACCATTACAACTGTAGCAATATGGTATCCCACACACATATATACACACCTGCAGTGCAAAAAGTTGCCAACTGATGTGTACTGATTAAGCGACCGAGGATCTAGGCTTCTGCTGATCTCCACATTTTCCCCCGCCAGGAGTCTCACAGAGGCTTTATTCTCATCTTCAAACACCTGCCATTGCAGAGAGGCTACCATCAGCAGCAAGAAGTCATCTACAAAGAGAACGCAAAGATGGAGAGAAAGGAAGATTAGTGAGTAAGTGATACACAGAGGACTGATTTTTAAAATAACAGGTTTGAAATTTGAGATTTGAGAAATCAACCAGACTCACAAAGGATGAAAGTGGGGTTAGGCTGCATGGCAAAGTCTGGCAGATACAGCCATTTTATCAGATTAGAGGTGAAAGCTGGAGTAGATTTCCTCCAGGGATAATCTGCAGCACATTGCATGCATCACTTACTCAACATGCTTTTATTGATCCAGTAGAAAGCACAGAACAAACACAATTTTACAGCATAATATATTTACTCTGTTATCAGATTTATTTTGGAATGTGGCAACACAGTTGCTAAGCTATTCCCTGTAATGGCTACTACAAAATAATGGAAAGTTCAAAGTTGTACACTGTATTTTATAACCATTTTACATGACTACTCACTGATTTATTGCAATAAATAGGAAAACTTAATGCTGTAACAAATATTGTTATTACTATTATTATTATTATTATTAGTAGTAGTAGTAGTAGTAGTAGTATTGTATAACAATATATTACTATATTATGTATATACTGTATTGTTAAATCTGTATTCACTGACTGTAGTCCAACCTGTATATACTGTTCAGTCTGTACACAGCAATAAACGTGTAAATTTAATATCTTTATATGAATTTATATAAAGATATGAATTTATATTATTATTTAAGACATAGATAAAATCATACCCAAATAAAACTTTTTTTAAATTTAAACTTAACATTACATCTAAAAACACAGACATGTGTAGATTCATTGGTCACTTTGGTAAACAAAATACCATATTTGCAGTGTAGACACCACAACCCCTTGGTTCTATCAGTACTATTGTTAAAAAATCTTTAAAAATCTAAGCTTCTGTACAAAATACCTTTTCACATCAAAGTACTATGAATGATTTTGGTTACATCTCAACAACTGAACTCTGCAAAAACAATAATAGAAATGTGGAATTCCCCATTAATGTGATATACTGCCAAGACACACTCCTTTTAAGTGATAGCTGATTTGGCCAAAAAAAATTATTCTGATTCTGATTACTATAATTTGCTATCGCCTGTTCAGTAATTAAACATCACTCATTAGTACATGTGACTTACCAGTACAGAGTGCAGGAGGCAAGCCAATACAGAGCAGGTACTGGAACACCATAAGGCTGGCGGTAAAACAGCAATATTTAGGCCACATCTCACCAATGGCCTTCCTGCGGCGACGTCCCAAAACTGTGATCAGAGCGAACGAGTGCAGAAGAGCGTAGAAGTCCATCCTCTGGCCTATAACGTTCACTGCCACCACAAAGGACATCTGACACAATCAAAAAGTAGACGGCAGATGGATCTCTGATTATGATTACTCATACAGTTCATCACCAGTGTCAACAAAAAAGTACAAAACTCCTACAGCAGGGCTGGACATTAAAGGGGCAATATGTAATACAGACAGCAAGAATTTAAAAAGGGTACTGCAGTCCAAATTCAAAATACTGGAGAGAGTTGTCTGCCCCCACCCCCTCCTCCCCAGACTCAAAGCTCACGCGGATTGCCAGGTTGAAGACCTTGAACCCACACAAACAAGCGCAATGTAAAACTTTGACAACATTAAACATCAACAGCATGCAACGACGAGTCATACACTGTAAGTTGATCAGCTGATGTATACATTTGCAATATTTTCATTGTTTGCAAATTATAAACCAGCTCATGTGGATTTTTTTATAACTCTTTCAATGTTAGCTAGATGTATGATTGGCTATGTACGGTAGCCAAAGCTAAGCCTGTCATCCCGAAAACTGCTCTCAAAATACTCACTGAAGCTGAAGTCAGCTTCTTATTTGCCAGCTTTTTGTTCAGTGCAGAAGTCACATTCTGATGCCTCAGCCAATTCTCCAGCTTCAACCAGAATGTAACTGCTGGACCATTTAAGGTTGAATGGGAAAATTAGAACAAGAAGCTGGAGAAAAGGAAGCTTGCTTCAGCATCATCTGCTCTAAAAACCCAGCAGCACGCTGCAGCCAATATGTTTCATATTTGGCAACCTGGCAATGTCGAACAGGTGGCGGGAAATAGGCAGAAAAGAACAGAAATTTCAAGGTAGAACATATTGGCTCTAGCACTGTTGTTGAAGAAGCCAGTATTTGAACTTCTGAGCATGTTTCTTTAATATCTGATGACATATGATGGTCCTTTTATAATTTAGCACAGTAAATATATTACATTTTGTTCCTTTAAGCTTTTTCAAGGACTTGACATATGAACGAGTAAATCCACATTTTACTTGTGGAAAGGCTAAACTCATTTGTCCAAGGGAAAAGGGCAATCTCATTGCAAATGACTGATGTACTGCATATGTTTTCATAAAATTTACAAATAGCACACTGAACAATTTATAATGTGAATGTGAGAAAGACAAAGGGATATTTCAGCCTACTCAAATTAAATGGTGGGACTTTATCAGTTTTCTACAACAATCCTGTCTCTCTCTCTCTCTCTCTCTCTCTCTCTCTCTCTCTCTCTCTCTCTCTTTCATTCTCAGCTTCAACTTCTTCTCCACAGCACTTTGCGAAAAACTGTGACCAGAGCTTACAGTGGCTCGTGAGCAGCACTGGCATTGTTTAAAATATGATAAATAAATTAAAGGTAACTGAAACTCTTTTGTGCATTACAAACACCTCCATCAAGATGTCCCTTGAGCCACTGAGTCAATCAGAACCATCTCAAGGACCGCCCCATTTTCCTCAGCACTCCAATCACTGCTTAGCAATTGTTGCTAGCCACTTTTCAGCATGTACGTTTATATTTTGGTCAAGAGATGACCCTATGTGACTTTTAAAAGATCCCATACAAGGACAGAGGGCAGGGTGTTGTTCTCTACCCATCTCCAACGCCAGAGATGTGGTAAACCTGTGCAGTTTCCAAATACACTCCATTATCGAATAATAAACAGTGTGACTCCACACTGGAACATGAACATCCAATACTGAGCAGATTGTTTGGTTTAGATCAACTTTCTTAAGCTACTGTTTTAACCATGTTATCTCTGCAGTAAGTTAACTTTACTAAATAGACAAAGTAATTAAACCCACCTCAATACCAGCATATAAGCGAGAAAGCTGGTGTGGCTTCAGTGTTGCACAGAGCACAGCAGCATTTGGATTTTTTTTTAACTTTGCTATTTTTAATGTATACAAAGGCTGAATCCAGGGATATTAAAAATTAGCAGATGGTGTGTGTTAGCAGTTAGTGTGTGTGTGTGTGTGTGTGTGTCTCATAAGTCAGTGCTTTAGAAGGCAGTGTTGTGATGAAGGCAGTGTTGTACCTGCACCGGATGCAACCAACTCGTGTTTGAGATGCACTTCGAAGGAGGCGATATGTCTCGTCGTTGCCAAAATAAGATGTGACTCACAGCTAACTGTTGGCATTAGCATTTTGTACCCAGTCTTTCAAGAAAGCTAGCATAATGAACTTCCAACTTCAAAACTTCAGTGGCACTGCATTGTCTGATTCACTCGTACCAGCGCAACACACACTAACACAGCACCACCACGTCAGGGTCACTGCAGTCCCGAGAATGATCTACCGCCCAAATAATACCTGCTATATGGTGGTCCTGTGGCGGTCCTGACCATTGCAGAACAGGGTAAAATGGGGTTAACAAAGTATGCAGAGAAACAGATGGACTACAGTCTGCAATTGTAGAACTACAAAGTGCACCTATGTAGTAAGTGGAGCTGATAAAATGGACAATAAGTGTAGACACAAGGATTTTAATGTTTTAATGTTGTGGCTGACCGGTGTAGTTTTAATGCCCATAAAATTTTCTGATGAGGCTTTCAACAAATTCTACCTATGGCTTTATGTAGGAAGCTTGTATATACGCACTACAGTAGGACATTTCAACTAGGTAGAACAATTCTCAATACCAGACAAGCACACAAGTGTTAATGCCCAGCCTGCTACAGGGTGGTGTAAATATTTGCTGTACCTCAAGGCCGAACTTGTAGAAGAAATAGTTGCAGAAGTACTTGAGGCAGGGCAGGACACCACGGTCCAGGTGCTGCCAGGTCATATTCTGGAAAATGGCACCTTTTGGAGGGGTCTTTAAGTCATTGTGGAGACGGTGGTAGAGTTGGTGCCGATGGACAGTCACGTCAAACACGAGGAGGCCCAGTATTAACAGATGATTCTATACAAACATTCACACAGCATAATGACATGAGTTCACACTTTCATAGGTGACACATTCCAAACCAGCCAGTTTTTCTTTATAATGGCTACTTAACCCAAAACAAGTCATATTCTGGCAGTTCTTCTTATTCTTGGAGTCTAAAAGACATACTGTACACAATGTTGTGATCAAGCTGTTTGAACAAGGATGAAGAAATTAATTTCAACAGGTAATTATTTTCATATGGGGTGTGTAAATGTGTCAAACAGTACAACAGTATGTCACTCCAAAATGACATATATTAATTTGTAACAATATTGGATATAAAGAAGCATGAAAAAAATAAGACCGAAAATGCATTACTCTAATAAAGGTGGCCCACTCCAAACAACATGGGGGGAAAAAGAAAATTCATGAAAGTGGCATTTAATGTGTTTCAAAATGAAAACCTTCATTTATAACTAGTGTAGGGCCGAGAAAGCTGTTCTGTGAATTCTGGCTCTGTAAGGTTTATACCATGTCTTGGGAGGAGCTACCCTACCCCCACCCCAAATGGACAGTTCTTATCGGCATCTACATTTCAGAGCCTTGGTGGTCTTGTAGGTTGTGGGGATGTTTATATGATCACAGCATATGATCACTTTTGATTGGTCAGAACAGGCAGGGTCTTGGTTTTAAATGAAAAACAGTTTGGTCAAATGTGAAGGAACTCTGTGTTTGGTCAGAGCTTAGAGGGGCAAAGAGAGAAGAAGGATCCCTTGAACAGGTCTAGTTCAGCTCACCCTCTCCTTCTGTCTGTCTATCTATCTACCAAGTAAAATTCATGGAGTATTTTTAGTGTGGAATTCATCTTATTTGCAACATCTTTTGTATAGCCTCATTATATTATTTACTCAGTTGTAACATGTATCAAAGTTTATGTAGCGTTAATAAAGCAATCTGTGTTATCTTAAACCATTGTGAAGATTACTGTAATTAACTGTAATTAAAAGCATAACACTACATAGACCGTTGATGTTTACAGGTTTCTGTCTATCAGTCCTTTAAATACAGTGCCAACCAGGAGTACACAGTCAGTGGTGGGATTTGAACCACCACCTTTTTGTGTTTAAAAAGAAGTTGACTTTAAATTAATTCTGAGGTGTTATTTCTTGCACACTACTTTAAATACTTTTCAAATATTTTTGTGTTTGTGAATGAATATATAAAAATATGCAGCGTACCCGCAGGCAGGGCAGGATGGAATCCTCACACTTTCTTAGACCCCCAATCCACCAAGCTGGGTCCACTGGTTCCATGTATAAAACTGACTTCTGCAAAAGCTGAGCCACATTCCCACTGTACCAGCTCACATTGGAGACCAGAAAGCCCTGAAAAAACATGGTGAAAAGTACTAAAACATACAGAATATAAAAATAACATACTGAAAATGCTTCTAAATACAGAATTATCTGTTGCTTTTTCAGTATTCTTGGCTAATTGATAGATTTTAATATTGAAATGGAAACCTGTTTAAAAATAGGTACTATTATTATTAAAAATGTTAATATGCTAGAGGGTGTTATGCTGAGAACAGACATTCTTAGGTACTAAGACTTTTGGCAAATATATACAGAGTAGCAACCACACAAAAATCAGCAAACTCACAGCAGTGCAGTTAAGAGAATACTCAGATGGTTTGATGAATTTGAGCTGATACATCATTTTACACACAACCATCACACAGGCCCACACAGAGGACACGGTGGAGGCCACCGGCCGCAGTCTTGAATATGGCACAGCAAATGTCCACAACACCAGAAACAAAAAGTTCATCAAAGAAACCTGGAAAACACAAATTTATTTGATATGGAGAAGAAGCTTTACAGCTGCTGAGTCAAGTTTGTTAGTTTGGTAATTTAGGCCTCTGCTCCACTGTAGGCTCAATTTAAATTAGCACGGAACAGATTCACTCCAACATCAGCCATTCAGCTTCAGTCCCTCACATTGGAGTTTCCATCTGAAACAGCATCAGTGTAGCTTCTGTTAGCCTGTATCAGACCTGTTCCACAGTGAGCAGAGCTGTTAGCATGCTACACTAATACAAACCATCTCCACTTTCCTGGTAGCAGAAGCAAGCTGAACTTACTTGTTTTGGGGTTTAAATAATGTAGGATGAAGTGGCACAATACCGATGCAAACGTAGAACCAATCAGCGAATAGCTTAATCATTAATTCATCCCACTGGAAAGTTCTGCGGCCTTGAGGAAGGGAAGCTAACCATGCCAAGAAAACCATGATGGGCAAGGTTTGCAAGCATTGTGTGTTGAACTGTTTATGTGTGGAAATGTCACAGTAGAGGTTTCTCTCTATGCCTCAATCCCACAGTGGAAAAGAAGCCTTACAGGACCTGAAGTATTTTAAATTGAACATATTTTCCCTGGGTAATTTTACTAATTGAGGTTATATTACTAAAATATACTGTTTTGAGATGCTAAGTGTTCATATATATGCTTCATCCCAGTCATGTGAAGTATTAACTAGGTTAATAATTTGACACACTGCTGCAAGAAACAGAGAAGGGGGAAAACTAAGACACTGACAGTTTAAGAAATCAATTCCACTTGATAATGTATGTGCAATGCAACTTTTAGACTGCATTACAAGAACTGAAAGCTTGTGGATTGTAAGTGTTTGGTACTTGTGCGTTGTGTATGTCTGACCTCTTTCAGGCTGACCCAGATGATGCCCGTAGCAACAAGTTTGAGGCTGTGGAGTTCTAACAACCTCCAGCAAAACTCCTGACCTCTATTCAACCACAGCAGAATTTGCAGCATCAACTCACTCATCCGGTCCACCACTAACAACCACTTGTTTACCACTGGTTCTGAAATAAACACATTGACACATATTAATATACACTCACACAAAAGTCATTAAAACAAGCGGAAAGACACATCAGATATGCAAACAGAGCCAGGAGCCAGGAGCCAATAGCCAATATAATCTTGTCTCTTGTGCCAGTCTCTCCAGCTGCTGATGGCAACAGACTAAACTAAATTTTAGTATGTTGATTCTGTCCTATTTGAATACATCAAAACTCAAAATAGCTAATAAATGTGGGATATATCCTATTTTGAGCAACAGAGACTTAATTTATTTGGGTATACGTCTCATGATACCAGGTGGAAATGCCATGAGACTCATAAAAACACAGTACATTCTCTTTCATTTGACTTGATTGACTTGAATAATGATGTTCTTTTACTCTAATACTAGGAGCTGCATATTCCAAAACAGGCCACACAATACCTATATAAAAGGAAATCTTATAATTAATTCCTTATTATGACTCATCCTGAATGGGGATGCCCGAGACTTTTATAGCGTGACTGACCTCCAGCTTTTTTTTCTCTGAAACTACAAGGCCACACAGACAGTATAGTAGTAATCTATGAATTCAGTATCATTTTAAACATAGTTTAGAATGTTGTAGAAATGTAAGCATGTGAAAAAAGTGACAGGTCAGAAGTGCTCATGTTTTGATGGACCTAAGCCAATATGGATAGAAACACCAATTACAATGGGAATGCTGCAGGATTATGAAGGATTCTTCTCAAAAGGACCACTTGGAAAAAATGGGATTTAATGTTACTAAAGGATTGTTCATGTACATTTCTTACCTTCTCCTTCTGTCTCCTCACTCTGTTCACTGACCAATGAGGGGTTTAGTCCTGAGCTGTCCAATAAATCATCTCCCTCTCCTCCTAGCTGCTCCTTGACCAACCTGTCAGAGGATTAAGATGTTATTTTTAGATTTTACAAATATTACAGATCAGCAATGATGGTGAAAAAAAGTGGAACAATAACAAGGCCAGACATCTTTACCGTTTCTGGAATTTTTCAATGTTTTCTTTCACCCTGAAATGAATAAAAGTACTTTCTGAGCAAAAGTCATTTTCTCGACAATACAAAATAAATAACAGGTCATACAGATTATTAAGCTGCTATGAAATTAAAAGCAATGCAAGAATGGATATTCCATATCCATGTATGCATGTGCACAGTGTTCTTCACCAGTCGTAAGGGTCTAACAATCTCAATAACATATTAAAGCTGAAAAAATACGTTTGAAACAGCAACTTAAAACTGTATCGCCCCAAGGGCCTCATTTATAAAATATTCATAATCTTAACTTGGTTCTATTCCGAATGCTCAAACGCAACTGTAAGGTGTGTGCACGCAACAGAGACAGACAGTAGAAGTTAAAAAATGTGACTGCGCAAAATTCACAAATCTACTGAACAAATAAAAAAAATCACTCATTAAAAAACAGACCCAAGCCTGACCAGAGCCCAGTGTCGTTCCTTGAAAACCTGGCCCAAAACCCGGTATTTTACCAGGCCCCCTTGGGTCGGGCAGCAGACTCCTACGTTTGTTTAACATAGGTGTGATATGCTGTTCCAAGTGATGAGTAGAAGTCAGAAAGAGTACTGAAATGGGACCAGAGTAAAAAAGTGGGTGGGGAAAAGAGTGGGCCTAATGCTATAGATGCACTCATGTTAAAAGGGGCTTTTTATTTATGAGTTATTTTTGAAATCTATGGGTTGCAGTTCTTAGGGATTATTTTATTATTGGAAATTGAATGGAATCTTGACCTCAGAATCATATTACCATATAGACCCCCTACCATATAGAAATGACCCTCTAAACTGACAGCTATAGATAGATAAAGTGCCACAACTTGGCCCATTTCCAAACTGCTTCATTAAAAGAGACAAATCAGCACACCACTATAAATCGTAAACTATTTTTTACATGGTACAAAATGAAGTAAGGTTTATTCAGAAGTGATGGGGTGAAATGAAATGAACAAAATACATAGTTGCACTATTAATGAATGAACTTACGTATCTGATATCAAGGTCAGAGTCTCTCCGAGTTCTTCTTCTCTGAATTCAAAGGAGTTCAGACATGATGATTAAAGTTCACATCTATGTTGACATTAGGTAAAATTAGGTCCATCAAGGTAAGCAGGATGATCCTAGTCTGGCTCGTTTTTGCTATTTACTGTAGTGATAGATTCTAATATTTAACTGTGGAACTCGAACAACTTCTGTACTTCTATGTGAGCAACATCTTTGCTTACTGCACTCTAATTCAAGCAATAGCTAAAAGCAATAGACCACTGTAGTCATGCGTCATTCTGTAGTCCTCGTTATGCCCATATGAGGAACTCCGGGTCTAAGCTCCATTTCTCTATGGCCAGAATGAATAGGGTTTTCAAAAAATCGCCTCTATCGCCCCCTGTGTTAAATAATAATCTTTAGAACCTGATACGTTTTGTTCTGTGTACATTTTTCTCCCGAATACCACTGGATCCTCCGATAGCCTAAATCAGTTTATCAGGGGGTGATAAACTGCTTGAGGAGGCTGTCAGTCTAATGACATGAATTCAGTGCGCAGTAGCTGTAGCTCACATGTAGCAATATTCATATTTCAACAATTTAATGACCTCGTAATTTAGAGGATCCAGTGGTATTCGAGAGGAGAATGTTCACAGGACAAAACGTATCGGGTTCTGAACATTTTTATTTAACACAGGGGGCTATAGAGGCGGTTTATCAAAAACCCTATTCATTCTGGCCATAGAGAAATGGAGCTTAGACCCGAAGTTCCTAATATGGGCATAAAAGCATGGCGTCGACTACAAAATGACGGCACAACTACAGTGGTCTAGATGAAGCACATAGCCCTATTCACAATGTTTGTGTAAATAGAGCTTATGCCCTTCCTGGATCGGGGCCTTGTCGAGGCGGAAGGGCTTGTGTGGTCTAGGGATCTTCAGGGCTAAGTCGTTGGCAGCAGTATGCTCCTGGTAGGGTCTCCCAGGGCGAACAGATCTGGAGTGAAGACCCAGACTAACTCGATCCAAAAATCCTCCATGAAAAATGGACATGGACAATTATGTACCCTGCCCGGGAGAGGGTCACTGGGACCTACCCCTGGAGCCAGGCCTGGGGGTAGCGTCCCCCGGTGAGCGCCTGGTGGCCAGGCAGCCCATGTAACCCGGCCGGGCTCAGCCCGAAGAGGCAACGTGGGGAGACCATGTGGGCCCACCACCCGCAAGGTCCAGCATGGGGGAGCGGTGCAGTGCCGTATAGGCAGTGGGAGATTGCGAGGAGGCCCCTGGTGGCCTAGGCCTCTGCGGCAAAAACTGGCTCTTGGTACGTGGAATGTAACCTCACTGGGGGGGAAGGAGCCAGAGCTTGTGTGGGAGGTTGAGAGTTGCCAACTAGATATAGTTGGGCTCACCTCCACCCACAGTGTCAGCTCTGGAACCAAACTCCTTGATAGGAGGATGGTCCCTCTCCTACTCTGGGGTTGCACAGGGTGAGAGGCGCCGGGCGGGTGTGGGGATACTCACGAGTCCCCGGCTGGCAGCCGTGCAGTTGGAGTTTGTCCCGGTGGACAAGAGGGTCGCCTCAATGCGAATTAAAATCGCAGAGAGGAAAACTCTGACTGTTGTGTGGGCTTATGCACCAAACAGCAGGTCGGAGTATTCAGCCTTCTTGGAGCAAGTGGGCGGGGTTCTGGAAAGGGTCCCGCCTACAGACTCCATAGTCTTACTTGGGAGACTTCAATGCTCATGTTGGCAATGACTGGGAGACCTGGAGAGGCGTGATTGGGAAGAACGGCCTGCCCGATCTAAACCCGAATGGTGAATTGTTATTGGACTTCTGTGCCAGGCATGGATTGTCCATAACAAACACAAAGTTTGAACACAAGGATGTTCATAAGTGTACATGGTACCAGAGCTCCTTGGGTCATAGGTCAATGGTCGACTTTGTCGATCAGGTGAAGAGAGGCGCTGAGCTGTCAACCGATCACCATCTGGTGGTGAGTTGGATCAGATGGCAGGAAAGACCGATGGTCAGACCCGGTAGGCCCAAGCGAATAGTGAGGGTGTGCTGGGAACGACTGTCGGAGGCCCCTGTTCAGAAAGATTTTAACTCCCACCTCCGGGAGAGCTTTTCTCATGTCCCGGAGGAGGTAGGGGACATGGAGTCTGAACGAACCCTGTTCAAAACCTCCATTGTGGAAGCTGCCGGGCGTAGCTGTGGCCAAAAGCTTGTTGGTGCCTGTCAGGGCGGTAAACCAAAAACCCCCTGGTGGACACCAGGGGTGAGGGAGGCCATCAAGCTGAAGAAAGAGGCCTTTAGGGACTGGATGGCCCGAAGGACTCCCGACTCAGCAGATAGGTACCGATAGGCAAAAAAGGTGGCAGCCACAACGGTGGCAGAAGCAAAATCCAGGGCTTGGGAGGAGTTTGGAGAAGCCATGGAAAAAGACTTTAGGTTGGCCTCAAGGAGGTTCTGGATGACTGTCCGGCGACTCAGGAGCAGTCGGGGTGGCTGCGCCCAAGCTGTATTCGGCAGGGTGGAGAAACTCTAACTTCAAATGCGGATATTGTCGGTCGGTGGAAGGAGCACTTTGAGGAACTTCTTAATCCGGGAGACATGCCTCCCTCACGGGAGTCAGGGTCAGAGGCTTCTGGCGTGTCAAGCTCCATTTCCCTGGTGGAGGTCACTGAGGTAGTTGGCGAGCTCTTCAGTGGCAAGGCACCGGGGGTGGATGAGATTCGTCCGGAGATGCTCTGGATATTGTGGGGCTGTCGTGGCTGGCACGCCTCTGCAATATTGCATGGACCTCAGGAACAGTACCCTTGGACTGGCAGACCGGGGTGGTGGTCCCTATTTTTAAGAAAGGGGACCGGAGGGTGTGTGCCAACTATCGGGGTATCACACTGCTCAGCCTCCCTGGGAAAGTCTATGCCAAGGTGCTAGAAAGGAGACTTCGACCGATAGTTGAACCTCGGATTGAGGAGGAACAATGCGGATTCCGTCCAGGCCGTGGAACAATGGACCAGCTTTTCACCCTCTCACGGATTGTTGAGGGGGCATGGGAATTTGCCAACCCAGTCTACATGTGTTTTGTGGATTTGGAGAAGGCTTATGACCGTGTTCCCCAAGATATCTTGTGGGAGGTCCTCTGGGAGTATGGGGTGCCGGGGCTGCTACTCCGGGCCATTCAATCTCTGTACTCCTGGAGTGAGAGCTGTGTTTGTATACTCGGCATTAATTCGGACTCTTTTAGTGTTAGCGTTGGACTCCGCCAGGGTTGTGCCCTGTCTCCACTCCTGTTCGTGATGTTCATGGACAGGGTGTCAAGGCATAGCCATGGTCAGGAGGGCATTATGTGTGGAGGCCGGAGGGTGGCGTCTCTGCTATTTGCGGATGATGTTGTTCTTTTGGCTGGATCACATGGATGCCTCCAGCGCACACTGGAGCAGTTTGCAGCTGAGTGTGAAGCGGTTGGCATGTGGATCAGCACCTCCAAGTCTGAGTCCATGGTCTTAGCTTGGAAAAGGATGGCATGCTGACTCCAGGTAAGGGGAAAGGACTTGCCCCAGGTGGAGGAGTTTAAGTATCTCGGGGTCTTGTTCACGAGTGATGGGAAGAGGGATCGTGAGATCGACCGCAGGCTGGGACAGGGGGCAGCAGTAATGCGGTCGCTGTACCGGACTGTAGTGGTGAAGAGGGAGCTGAGCCGTAAGGCGAAGCTCTCTGTATACCGGTCGGTCTACATCCCGAACCTTACCTATGGTCATGAGCTATGGGTAATGACCGAAAGAATGAGATCGCTTTCTTCGTAGGGGGGCGGGCTACACTCTATTTGATAGGATGAGGAGCTCCGCCATCCAGGAGGAGCTCTGAGTAGAGCCGCTACTCCTCCACATTGAGAGGAGCCAGCTGAGGTGGTTCGGGCATCTGATCCGGATGCCCCCTGGACGCCTCCCAGTGGGAGTGTACCAGGCACGGCCTACCGGGACAAGACCCTGGGGTCGTCCTAGGACGCGCTGGAGGGATTATATCTCCAGGTTGGCCTGGGAGCGGCTTGGGGAGGAAGTTGTGGGGGACAGGGTCGTCTGGGATTCTCTGCTCTCCCAACTGCTACTGCAACCCTAGCTGGACTAAGCGGTTAATGATGATGATGATGATGAGTTTATGCTCATCTTCACAATGATGGTGAGATCTGTGCTTTAAAAAACAGATTAGGCCCAGTTTCTCAAAAACATCTTAATGTCAAGATCATCTCAATTGGTAGAGAGAGTGTTCAGTGTGATGCTTGCACTACCATTTAAGAACAATCTTTGTGCTAACGCTTTTGGAAAATCCAGTTCTGATCTTTAAACACTTCTGAGCTTGACTTTAAACCTCATCATGTCTGATCAGTGCTATGGAAATCATGCTGCTTTAAAATTGGGGACTTTTTGTTGTTCAGCCTCACTGCTGAAAACTGGCACAGCATCTGCTTACACGTGTTCAGTCAATATCAATTTCTGTGGGAGTGATTGACCCACCTGGTTGCACCATTACGCACAGGTACATTCTGTAGGTCGGTGAGAGAGAGGAAGTCACTATTGAAGTAGTGGAGCTGTAGGATGCAGGCCAGTAGAAAGGCAGCAGGAAGCAAGATCTGTGCAAACAACTCCACCATGTCAAACTGCTCCAGGCCCAGGTCCCGCAGCCTGACAATGCCACAAAAATGTAAGCTCATCGTAACTCTTAGTACATCCTGATAGCTATCATTAAAATATATGCTCTGAAAGAAGATCACATATGCCAGTTCACATATACATTGTTTGTCATTGTATCTACAAATTGTAGACTTAAAGGCTTGTCATTCAGTTGTAAACAAAACAATTTATCATAAAACCAGGATAAAACCACAATTACTTAACAATGGACTTGATATTAGGCTACAAATTACGTTATACTCATGTAATGTTAGCTAAAAGCTAAACACAGCCAGTATCTTTCCTACAATTTCGCAAAGTCACCCTTTTTCTTTAAAAGACTGAAGCTAAAAAAGTTAGTGAAAGATATTAAAATGGCAAACAATATTTACAAAAATAGAAACATTCATTTGTTTAGCCATAGTTTTGACTGTTGAACGACATGGCATATTTGGTGTATGCATCATAAAAATGGATGAATGTGAAAAACTTTTTTTTTTCAAATTAAACACTGGAATATTTTGATTAGAAAGTGAGCTAAAAATAACAATCAAACATACATAAAATATGGTTAATTATGAAATGTAAATATTGTTTTAAGATGATATTGATAACAAGCATTCGAGAACTTGTTCGGAAACACCAGCAAATATTCAATGCCTATAAAATTTCTACCATTTATTGATGCTCACAAGCTCACTGTGGGTGAATAGTCCCATTTCACACTGTCATATCTGATGCAGCAGAATTTCTCATAGCAGGGAAACATAACTATAGCAATAGTATAAAATACCGTATGTGTTCGACTTTTTAAGCTTGTTTATGCTGAGAGCCAGTCATTAAATCATGAGCATGTGCCAGCCATTACACAGAAACTTTATAATTTGCTTTGTAAGAAGATTATATTTACATGCTTGCCACCACTAATATAATGCTTATTTTCACTAGCCTAGTAATGGGGATTTAATTTTTGTCATGTTAATGTTATGTTAGCTTATGGTGGTGTATATTTAAATTTTATAGCAGCTCTCTAGATTAAATACAGACATTTGAAGCATATAAAGGACATTCAAGTAACATATTCTTTCCTTCCTACAGTCAGTAAAGAATTAAAAACAATACCTGTCTCTGAATATTTTTAGCCTTAGCTGTTTGCTTAGCTACATGCCCAACATACTATTATTGAATATATACTATAACGTAATATTCAACGCAGTAGAAGTTTTCATAGTAGGGAAAACAACAGTGGCAGTAAAGGATGTAAGGACTAATGTAAAGGACTAGCTTATTTATATGTCCTTTTTAAAGTATTTGCCTATTTTTTCCACGAAAAACATCATTCAGTTTTCATTTTCAGAGAGGACCAATCTTGACAAGGTCTACAAGCTTTTCTTCAAGAATTACCTATTTGACAACACAACAAGGGTTTGTCAACCCTGAACCTTGCACCTCTCTGAAAATGAACACTGCTCCACAAAACAAACAACATATTTAATGAGAACGTAAAAATTGGAGTCCTCTGCATTATCTACATTTGTAAACGCTGCCGCTGTTTTTCCTACTACTTACATTGCGTCAAATAAGGAAGTGTGAAAAAGGTCCACCAGAGCAAGCTGGGCACCTAGCTCAGCTATATAAGCTAAGCTATAAAGCTAAAGCTAATAATATTCAGAAGCAGATTTTGAGTTTAAATCTTTAATGTTGAGTCAACATCCCAACTATAATATCCAAAGTAAAGAATATGTTATCTAAATGTCTTACGAGCTTAAAATATCTGAGATCTAGAGAGCTGCTATAAAAAGTAAACATATACCACCGTTTACTTGGTATTAGGATAACAATTAAATCCCCATTACTAGGCTAGCAGAAATTATCAATATAGTGGCAGCATTCGGGTAAACAAAAGCTTCTTACAAAGCAAATTACAAAGGTGATGCATTGAACATTACTATGTGATGACATTCTTGGCTGACACATGACCCTGATTTAGTGACTGTATCTGAACTCAGTGTAAACAAGCTTAGAAAAGTCATATATGGTCTCTATACTGTTTTCTGCTGTAGCCATCGTTGAGCTCTCTAACACAGCCAAGTCACCACCCCCCTTATTCCACCCTGTCCACTGAGACAACCAGTGAGAGCAGTGGTCATTAGCACACAAAGTAACAGATATAAAACAGATGAGAAATGAGGACATGGTAATAGTACATAGATATTTGCTGCACTTACCCCTCTTCCGACATGCCTATGATCTGACGAAACAGGCCTGAGACAGTCTTAAACTGGTACATGTAAATCAGGATCAACACCAGCATGGAATATCCAACCACTATAGCCCAGAAGTACTTCAGAACACGGCGCCATACTTCATAATGCACCTACACAGGAGAGAAAGCAGAGCAGAGCTGAGACAGAATCCCAGCATACAGTCTTCTTGCTATTCTACTCTACACTCTATACTAATTACAGTCAAATGCAAAAGTTGGGGGCCCCTGGTCAAATTATTGTTTTGCTGATTTCCTACATGAAACTAAGAACACATTCTCTATAGAGAACATGCTTCTATTCACATTTTAATGCACAATTACTAGTTATTTACTGAATTTTACATACTACAAAAAAAATAAAACATGAAATGTGACATGCAAAAGTTGGGCACATTCAATATTTCATGTGTTATTTTTACAATATGTTAAACTCAAATAATTAGAAATTGTGCACTACAATTTGCAGAAAAAAATATTTAAGTTTGTCCTCTGGAGAGGATATGTTAACTTATTTTCATTTAGAAAAAACTCACTTAGAAAATCAAGAAAATGGAATTTGACAAAGGGTATTCAAACCTCTGCACATGTCTGTACACTAATTTGATAATAAAAAATAAAATAAAATCTAATTGCATTTTAAATGTGAGTGTTTCCTGTAAATTAAGCTCCAGGCTTTTGGCTAAATTGTTTTAGGTTAAATTTCCCAACTTAAAACTTGTTAAGCCAACATTAAATAATTTAGGATATAATAAAAATGACAATTTGAAAATTGCACTCTTCAAATTTGGGATTTCAATACAAAACTATTAATCGTTCAGCCCTATTCATAGCTGCTCTGATGGCTTTTAAGCAGTCATGTTTGAAAGAGGAGGATGTGGAGGAAAAAAAACATACAAATACTAGCTCACCTGGTAGAGAACAGCACAGAAGAGAAAAAGGCAGATGTAGAGGATTTTGTAGACAACTACTTTCCCAGAGAAGCTGATGATGAAGAACATGGAGCAGCAGCAGAGGATCCAATACTTTACTAAAGTGCCTTTAATAAATGCTCCTAATATAGTCACCATCCTAGATGACTCACCCTCATCAGCTACAAAGCCAAGCACACACACACACACACAAAGGTTTTCTGACACATCTTACTTCAAATGTGCTTTGCAAAGAATTCTAATTTTGACATCCCTGAGATACACTATATGTCCAAAAGTTTTAACTCTTTTTTCTGAAATCAAGGGTATTAATAGGGACTTTCTCCCATCTTTGCAGCAGTAACAGCCTCTACTCTTCTGGGAAAACTTTACACTACATGAGGGAACACTGCTGTGAGGATCTGATTGCAAACTCCAGCTCGTCTAAAAAGTATTGGATGGAGCCACATCACTCCAGAGAACACAGTTCCACTGCTCCAGGGCCCAGTGCTGGGGGACTTCATACACCTTTAGCCGATGCTTGGCAGCAGGTACGGTGAAATTAGGCTCATGTGTGGCTGCTCCAGAGCATCTCATTCTGTTGGCAATGTTTTTCTACGGAGATTATACAAGTACACAAGTATACAAGTACGTGTGTATTTGAACACCTGTTTCAACAATGAGAGCAGCTGAATTAAAAAATTGGAAGGGTTGTCTGAATACTTTTGGACAGACAGTGTATCAAACTATGTTTACATTAATAATTAATCTTAGAGTACAGAAGTATTGGAATTGTGGAATAAATTGTGAGACTAGCTTTTGCATTTCATATTTAATCTCCTACAGTGTGCTGTTATAATACAACCCCATTTCCAAAACAGTTGGGATGCTGTGAAAAATGTAAATAAAAACAAAATGCAAATTGAAAATGCTTCAAGAACAACATATCAAATGTTGAAACTGAGAAATGTTATTGTTTTTTGAAAAACATTTGCCCATCTTGAATTTGATGCCAACAACACATTTCAAAAAAGTTGGGACAGGGGCAACAAAAGGCAGGTAAAATTGTGTGATGCTTAAAAAAACACCTGGTGGTTAACTGGCAACAGGTCAGTAACATGATTGGGCATAAAAAAGCATCCCAGAGAGGCTGAGTCTTTCAGAGGTAAAGATGGGGAGGGGTTCACCACTCTGTGAAAGACTGCATGATCAAATAGTGCAACAATTTAAGAATAACGTTTCTCAACATGAAATAGCAAAGAACTTTTGCTTTTCATCATCAATGGGACACAATAACATTAAAAGATTCAGAGAATCTGGAGAAATCTCTGTATGCAAGGGACAAAGCCAAAAACCAGTATTTGCTAGCCATGATCTTTAGGCCCTCAGACGGCACCGCATTAAAAACAGACATTATTCTGTAGTGGATCACTGCATGTGCTCAGAAACACTTCTGAAAAACACTGTCTGTGAAAACAGTTCATCGCTGCATCCACAAATGCTAAATAAAACTCTTAAATGCAAAGAAGAAATCATATATAAACAGGATCCAGAAATGCTCCCATTGAGGTGAAGTGGAAGTGGAAAAGTGTTCTGTGGTCCAACAAATCAAAATTGAATTTCTTTTTGGAAATCATGGACACTGAGTCCTCTGGGCTAAAGACCATTCAGCTTGTTATCAGTGTGCAGTTCAAAAGCTAGTATTCATGTTGGTGTAGGGGTGCATTAGTGCACATGGCATGGGTGACCGGCACATCTGTGAAGTCACCATTAATGCTGAACGATATATACATGTTTTGGCAACATATGCTGCCATGCAGACAATGTCTTTTTCAGGGAAGGCCTTGCTTATTTCAGCAAGACAATGTCAAACCACATTCTGCATGTATTACAACAGCATGGCTCTGTATTAAAAGAGTCTGGGCACTAAACTGGCCTGCCTGCAGTCCAGCCCTGTCACCACCGAAAACATTTGGCACATTATAAAATGAAAAATACGACAAAGGAGACGCTAAACCGTTGAGCAGCTGAAATCCTATGTTAAGCAAAAATGGGAAAACATATCACTTTAAAAACTACAGCAGTTGGTCTCCTCAGTTCCCAAACACTTACAGAGTGTTGTTAAAAGAAGAGGTGATGAAACACAGCGGTAAACATGCCCCCATCCCAACTTTTTTGGAATGTGTTGTTGGCATCAAATTCAAAATGGGCATATATTTAAAAAAAAACAAAAAAAAACAACAGTTTCAACATTTGATTTGTGGTCTTTGTACTATTTTCATTGAAATATAGGTTTTAAATAGATTGCACATTATTGAATTTTGTTTTTATTTACATTTTGCACAGCATCCCAACCTTTTTGGAAATGGGGTTGTAAAAATATTGCATTATTCTTTTTTAAAAACAGGTTGTAACCCATATGGGACTGCTTAAAGATTTCTTTTAATACTTTTAATTTTGACCTCCTGAAGATTCTCCTCTTTCCATTGCTGTTCTTCTTTTCTTTCAATCAACTGTTGTCGCAGCAACATCCAGAAATTAAATGCAAAAATCGTCTGTAAATAAAAAAGGCAGAATTAATTGTTATTATTTGGGTAATGTCTATTACAAATCATACAAATCATAATGAAATCTGCCAAATTTTTAGCCTCAACACTACAGAACTAGCAACACAGGAGCAGCAGGATATCTGAGATAAAGCCTTTAGAATGTGTATACCATCAGCAAAGTATATAAAATATAAAATAACCAGAAACAGACATCTCATTTCTTTAGTATGAGTGGCAAATGAAGCCCAAAACTAAACTCTAGAATGGCCAGTGTAGGCATTCAGATAGTGCTTCAGCTTCTCAAAGCAAATCCCTGCAACCACTCAAAGTTGTGGTTCATCTATGGGTTGCCAAAGTGGTATTTATGTCCCTTTATCTAACAGATGCCTTTGACATTCCAGCTATCAGCAAAGGATGGACAGCTAAAAGCCAAACACCATTGATTTACCATTCTGCAGACTCCACTAAGGAGAGAAGGCATACCGCTAAAACAGATTAGCCCCAAAAAGATGCTTTTTCTTCACATTTGGAGCTGGAAATTTCACCAGAACCTAACAACATCCTGTGATGCAATACAGGTTGTTTTTATAATAATTATACACTCTATAAATGTGCACTCTATCTGACTTGCTCAATTAAATATAGAGCTCAGGGTCATACTTTATATTGATGGTGCTTAATAGATGATCTACAGACACAGAGTGTAGTTGATTATCAAAAATATGATGGTTAGGCCTAGTTTTAGAAATTGTATTTAATAGATATTTAGTTGTACTTAAGGACAGATTGAGCATCTGCAGAGGACCATTAGAATAAAATGTTACCAAGTTCAATATGCAATGCCTCAGTTACATGACATGGACATCTTGAGGCAGATTTACTAACGTTGTGTATTGCCTCAAACTTCATTTTGGTGTTAAAAAGTGGCTATCACAACTTACTAAATGGGCCCAATGCTGCTTCAGCACCTATGAAAAGGTCACGCTACTCTCTTGCACTTTTGCTTCACTGCATATGAGTTTATGAGTTTATACTAAAAGCACCTACTCTCATTTACCCAGGCTGATAGTAAATACATTAACATTTGAGCATTTGGCAGACGCTCTTATCCAGAGTGATTTACCTTTAATAAAAATAAATAATTTATCTGTGCGCTTTGTTTTTTGCATGCGCATGGCAGAAATGTCACAGTCATTGTTTGATACATGGAACAGAGCTGCACTGTAAGAAGTTATGCTCAAAATCACACAATTCCCAAACAGCCTGAATGCGCTCAGTGACATTAAACAGGAACTTTACAATATCACATGGCTTCCAAACACACTCGTCTCATCTCATCAGCCAAAAAGTATGTGTTCACTGAAAACAGAAACTAAAAATAATCTCTTATATTACTGAATTTCTGACATATTATGTTGATGTTGAAGTAATTACATCGACATAATATGTCAGAATAATACTTCATTTTGTTCAGGTTTTGAGTCATTTTTCTCAAAATCTTGAATCACAGTCTCCTACCTGCCAGAAACAGACTTTCAAACAAAAAGCATGTGAGACAAACATGTGGTTATATTGTGTGGGTTGTATGTTAATTATAAAGTTGTGCCTATGTTCATTTGCATTTAAGTTCCTACTAGATAACCCACTAAGTTCTACCAACCCAACCTGGATAAGGGGTTATTCAAAACCTGGATACCCTGGGTAATTCAAATCAAATTAAATCACGTTTATTGTCACATTACATTACACATGTTTGAAGGTGAGTGAAGGTCCCCTTGTAGTACTTAAACACAAAATATATATATATATATATATATATATATATATATATATATATATATATATATAAGAATAAGAGATATATGCACATTAGACTCAAATATATACACATTAGACTCTAATAATAATTGGTGTCTCTCTTAGTAAATCTGCCGTCTTATATTTTGTGGCCTTTAAATCCTCCAGATGACCAATCAGTAGCATCTTTTGTCTTCATTATTCTACTTAGGAAGTACAAATGCACCAACATTTACCTTCTAAACAACTACTCTAGCACTTCTGAATTCACAGAACACTAGCAGCTATGCTAGCAAGACTAGCAAAACCCTTTGCTCAGCCCAGGCAAGCTTACTGAAAACTCCTAGAATCACATACAGCTCAGTTGGTGGAAAATCATTAATACAGTTTAGAAAAATATATGAAAATATTACAATATATTATAATAAGTTTGAACACTCAACTATATGTTTGTTGACATTTTGCAAATTTTGATTGTTTATTCACTGAGTTTAAATTTTTTTGAAAAAATAAAACATACCGTATAAAATGTACCAAAAGTTTTGCAGTAGCCACAATTTATTTTTTCAAAATGCTAAAATCAGCAGATAAACAGTAATTGTGTATTAAAATATGCAGGAGTCTAGCTTGCTAGTTGGTAAATAAAGAATGACTTACCTTTGCTCCAAGATGCAGACAGGGTGTCTTATAGCCATAAAGATCAAAGTCAACTAAAACTGTCTCGGGGAGAGTAGGGAAAAGCTCGTCATGATGTAAACGGAGAGAGCTAATAAACCCAGCCACCAGCAGCAGAGTACAATAGGCAGCGAGAAACGGAGCACTGAGCATGGTGTACTGCCGTCGACGCTTTGACATCCAGATCACACAAGACCACACCAACATAGCAAATGTGAGCCATGAATTGTAAGTGATGCTCCATACCTGAAAACAGATCAAACAAAATAGTAATATTTCAAACAAATAATAATACAAATAAATAATAGTTACTAATCATAGCTTATGTACTCATGTATTGCGAGAATCAGTCAAAGTAGTTTTTTGGTCAAAAAATGAAATGATTATTTAAAAACTATATTTTGTGTTTACTTAAGTTGCCTTTTTCTTATATTCATTTTTGTTTTAAGATCTAAAACAATTAATCGTAACAAACGTGTAAAAATAGAAAGAATCAGAGGGAGGCAAACACTTTAACACTTTTTTACAGCACTGTAGGTGCCTATATGGCTCTTCTCCATACAAGATAGAAAGACCAAATAGAATTAGCCTGAATTAGCGACACACGGCCAAACACACATACACATAAACACATGCAAAGAGTGTTACCATCATTATGATGAGAGCGCTAACGTAGCTCTGTCTCATGATGGACTGACCCAGCAGAGTGAAGGCACTGGGTTCAGAAGTTGACAAGGGTTCTACGTCATCCAGGGTATCATCATCTCTCTCACAGCTCGCTTCTTCTTCATCCACAAGAGTATGTGTGTGAACACCTGAGAATGAACATAAGTGCAAACAACACAGTATGTTTCTGGTGCTGCCCATGCACTTATTATGTCAAATGAATTTTTCAGTAGAATTACATGATACATTTTCTACAGCTTATGCAAACAAATGAAATATTTCAGTGAGGGTACCGTAAGAGCAGTCATCTTGGGTGTACGGCGGAAGGGAAAGGCAGCGTGGGTAGCCATTGTCTGAGGGCAGCGAGTTCATCCCAGAAGAATCGCGGTCCTGCCAAGAGCTGTTTATCATCATGAGGACTGGCTGGAAGATGAAAACAAAAACATACATTGCTCATGCTTTACAGAATAGCATAGACATCCAGCTTACACTGAAGTTGAAACCAGACTAAGTCTAAGGATAGTTTGAACACTTAAATCAAACAGTGAATATAGAAAGTCTACACAACCTTATTAAAATTGCAGGTTTTGTGATGTAAAGGCAGGAATTAAGGTAAATCGTGTGGGGTTTTCTTTACTGGGATCTTGCAACCATCAAAATTCGAGAGAAAAAGAGAATTATTGAAATAATAACAAAAACATAAGCACGTTGGTGCGAGAAAATTAGGCTTTGGGGCTGCTTCTCTTCAGTTGGGATAGGGGCTGTAGGCAAGACAAATGGGATAATGACTAGCTCCAAATATCAAAGTATTTTAGCACAAGTAATTTGGCCTCTGTCATAAAGTGAAAAGTGAAGAGGAATTTTCCCTTCCAAACCCCACATGCAAGTCAGACAAGAAATAGTTTCAAAAGGGAACATCAGTGTCTTGGAGCACCCTAGTCTTAGAATGGCCCAGGTAGGACTACCTAAGGGGTAAGTTGTAACATTTGCACTCAGGCCGCTTCCAGTGGGATTGTTCAGGTAGGTATGGTAGGTGCTTCAAACACAGTTTTTGTTTTCATTTGAGTCAGAGGTTGCATATATAAAACAATTATTAATGTTGTTCAAATATTTTAAAAAACAAAATGTATTTGGTATTGCCCTGCTTCCTCCTGCATTTAAAACCATATTCTTTCAGACCTTCGATTCATGTGGTCACTGTCTTGCATTGCCTATATAAATGACTTGTACTGAAACAAATAAAATCATGTTTATGGATCTAGGTGTGTATGTGTTTGTATTGTATGTCACCTCTGTCCTTCCAGGCAAGAAGACATCGCCATCCACTATCTTTGAGAAACTGGGTGGAATGTGTGATCCTCTTGCAGGACTCTCAATCTCTCCTTGGTCATCCTTATAGATAATAACTACTTTCAGGTCACAAGTACTCATGCGTTAGAGACAGACAAACAGCCATATGCAGAAGTTAGAACACACCTGGTCAAATTACATGTATTGTTGATTATCTATATGAAAGTAAGTTTTTTTGCTATGTGTAACATATTGGGAAAAAAATAAAATAAAATGTGCCATAACATTTCATAAGTATTTGGACAGAGACACAATTTTTGTAATTTTGCCTCTGTAAACCACCACAGTCAAGCTGTGATTGAAGATAGAATTTCGGCTTTAATTTAAGGGGTTTAATAAAAATACTGCATTAACCGTTAAGGTATTACAGACACAGTCCCACCATTTTCACAGGCTCAAAAGTAGGCAAACAAACTAACATAATTATAAATATAATGATAATTTTTAATGCCTGGAAGCAAATCCCTTGCAGTCAATGACTGCCTGAAATGTGTCACCCATGGACATCACCGAACGATGAATGTCCTCCCTTGAGATGCTTTGCCAGGCCTTTACTATAGCCAGCTTCAGTTCCTGCTTGTTTGTGGGTCTTTTTTGCCTTCAGTTTTGTCTTCAGTAAGAGAAAAGCATGCTCAACTGGGTTAAGTTGAGGTGACTGACTCGGCCATTTCTAAGGACATTCCATTTCTTTGCCTTAAGAAGCCCTTAGGCTGCTTTCGCGATATGTTTTGCATCATTATCCATCTGTACTGTGAAGCGCTGTCCTGTCAGCTTTGAAGCATTTGACTGAACAGAAAGTAAAGCTCTATACTCTTCAGAATTCATCCTACTACTTCTGTCAGTAGTCACATCAATAAACACCAGTGATCCAGTTCCACTGGCAGCCGTACGTGCCCATGTCATGACACTGCCTCAACCATCTGTATACAGATGATGTGGTATGCTTCAGATCATGAGCCCTTCCTTTCCTTCTTCATATTCTTCTCTTCACACCATTTGGGTACAAGTTAATCTTGGTTTCATCTGTCCAAAGAATCTTGTTCCAGAATTGGTCAGACTTTTTTTAGATGTTTTCTAACAAAGTCTAATCTGGCTTCTCTGTTCTTAAGTATTACTGGTGCTTTGCATCTTGAGGTAAACCATCTGTATTTACATTCATGAAGGTGTCTCTTGATTGTAGACTTTCCTCTAGAATGTCCTTGACTCAATCAGATGTTGTCAAGTTGTGTGTCTTCACTACGAATAGAATTCCGTGGTCTTCCAGCCCTTTTGGTGTTGCCAAGCTCACCTGTGCATTTCTACTTTTTAAGAATGTACCAAATTGTTGATTTGGCCACTCCAAGGCCACTGCTATCTCTCTTGCCCAGTTTTCTTGCATTAACACATCTTTGGACCACATACTGACAGTTCCCATGAACAGCTACAAAATGCATATTCAACACTTGGAATCAACTCCAGGCCTTTTATCTCCTCATTTTGTCATGAAATATTGAGAGAACCGGCCACACCTGGCCATAAAACTGCTTACCAGTCAACTGTCCAATTACTTGTGAGCCTGTGAAATAGAGGGACTAAAAAAAGTTTGTTATCCCTTAAAAGTTAACACAGTATTTTTGTTAAACCCCTTGAATTAGAGCTGAAAGTCTACCCTTCAATCACAGCTTAACTACTTTATTTCAAATCCAGTGTGGTGGTGTACAGAGGCAAAATTACAAAAATTTTATCAGAGTCCCAATACTTATGGACCTGGCTGCAGGTCAAAGAACAATTACACAAAAATATGCAGGGCAAAGGTAGCCAAATGACTTGCACATGAAGAAAGGCCACCAAGTCAAACATTTTAAAGCTGAGACATCAAAACTTTTTTTATTGCCAGACAAATGTAGCACAGTTGATTTAAAAACAAGGCAGTGAATATTTCAGTCAACAGATGTAGAACTGATGAAAGTCTGTTGATTGAAATGTTTGCTGCCTTGCTTTTACTTACTTATGCACCTTGTACTACTTTGGAATTGCTTTATTACATGTGAAGGAGAGGAAGCTAGATGTAGAATGAGCAACGTTTCTCTTGAACAGGTATGTAAATGCAATATGTTTAAAGTGGGGCCATTTTTACATAAAATGCCAGGTAAAGTAATGCTTTCGGTTAGAACCACCTTCATAGAAATGTAAGTACTAGTCAACTGCATCAAACTCCTGTGCAAGTAAAGATGATAACTAGCTAACATGTTCACTAAAATACTTGTAAGGGCTCATTATGAAGAAAAAACTGGACAGCAAAGACACTAGCAACTATTCCCGCAGCAGAAAATCGGTAAGAAATAAATGTCAAGTGTTTCAATACAGGTGAATTTCCTAGTGGGCAACACCACATGTGCTAACAGAATCATGTCCTCTAGACAAAAGAGACCCAGGAGTTTGATGCTCACTCTGGAAAAATGACGCTACTATACCAAAAAGTGTTTGGATAGTACTTGGATAGCAAGATTAGATGAAAAGGCTTAAATAGGTGAAATGTAATGGAAAGTCATCATAATTTGCCAGTGTCAATAAATAAACACTTTGCTGGGAGGAGAGCAATATTGTAGCCCTCTCTTGGTGCCATATCTTTTAGCTAGGTTCCTAGCACAATACCCTGAGATAAACTAGCCTATAGCCGTGGTATTCTCTGCTACTAACATTTTGTTTATTGAGTACTTTGATCTTCTCTTAACCATCGTTAGTGTTATGTCATACTTTTACCATCTATGTCTAAAAAAATGAAGCAGTGGTTGGTAATGCTAGCAAACTCGAAATGAACTCTTTCGATTCTAGGGACAAGGCTTTGTGTTGATGGTTGGAAAGGGGAGGCAGATCGAAAGAGTAACGAACGTAGTTTAATTGTTGTTGTAGTTCACATACTTAACTACTAGAGGTTTTTCAGTCTTGACTAATGTTCATGTTTTTTTTTTATGTGAACTAAACAACTAATGTTAATTCAACATTGATTTGCGTCCTTGAAAAAACTGCTACAAAATCGAATCTATAAATATGCAAGAAAAAGTATCCACACAGGCCAAATACATGATCTGATAATTGGCATATGATTTGTAGGCCTTAAAACACACTGTAGAAAAAAGCTACATAGGCCACACTTAAATTATGAAAATAATTCAATGCCACCTTGCATTAAAAGAACAACTATATGGCACTACTTCTTACACAAGCCACATTTTTAGCAGCACCTGTCTTTTATTACAGAACTGGAAAGCTTACAGGCACAGCTTAATTACCCTGACATGTTCATCGTGGTCATACCACTTTTCCAGACTGAGGTCAAAAGGCCAAACAAGCATCAGCACAACATGATGTTAAGACGATGTTGTGGTCAGAGCTCAATGCAATTGATCCCATATGTCTATCTATAACAGAGTGATGTTTGTACTGTCATGCTCTGTACTGATACTGAGTCTCCAGGTATGGACCATTCTGTACTGTAAGTATTGTTTTGTTAGTGACAAAATAGAATGTTTAATCATTTGTTTTAACATAATAAACATAATTAAGTTGTGGGGTCATTCAGAGCAAAAGGATTTTTGTCTAAAGTCAGTTAGGAGTCCAAAATGTGTTCTTAACTCTGACTTTGAACCACTTCGGCAGAATGATCCAATCCATACAAGATTTATATTATTCTGTTATTTCTGCTAGTCTGTTATTCTGTAGGTTCTGCTAGTAATAGTACTCTTCTGTGTGCTTATTTTCAAAAATGAAGTACCTCTTCAGCTGTGGAAGTCCATTTTTGGAGAAGAGCCACCATTGTGTAGTACAGCACCAATAATACCAGAGGGTTTATTATCACAGGCCAACTCACATCCGCCTGCAGGCCAAGACTGTATGGTTCTGATGCATTTGTGTGGATGAATGCAGTCATTCCAAATAGCCTTGGAAAGAGAGAAAGAAATGGGAGAAAAAGGGAAGAAGTATACAAACCATAAACTTTTGTTTGAACAGTTTGAACAGAAATACTAAAATTGTATATTATTCTATTAGAATATAGAATATATGACTGTAATACATATAGATTTAGAAACTAAAATGACATCTCCCTTTGATTAGCAATATGGAGAATATAACATTTCTTTCTGTAGGGTCACAAATGCAGTAAAATGAATAAAATGCAGAAACAGTAATGCTGCATCACCTAAATGTTCTGCATTTCCAGAATATACTAAAATCCATCATTCAGTATCAAACAGGTTGAATATTAAAGTCAGACTGCTGTAGTTGTACCTGGCATAAAGGTCCTGAGGAGGTACCAGCTGCTGGAACAGAGGCAGCTGATAGAGGTAGAGGATCAGGATGTGTCCGCCACTAAATATAGTCATCATTAGACACAATGTGCTAAAAAGCAGCAGATCAATAGAATAACCCAACACCCAACACCACACAAGACTCAGGAATGCCCCAAAATACAAGGCTGAAGTCAGTGAAGGTAGAGCTATACCTGTAAAAACACAAATGATAAGAAACAGCAAACAACTGGTGTTCACTAAAGTTGGAGTAAATCTGTATGGACAAAGCTAGGATTAGTACAGTTCTATGCAAAAGTTTGAACAACCCTAGTTTTTTTTTCCTTTTGCACAAGCCACATATGTTTTTTAACATGGTAAATTCTGCAAATAAACAGTAATTTTGTAGTAAAATGTACAGAAGTGTGTTCTACTTATTTTCACTTAGAAAAGCAACAAAACATGTAATTTGACCTGGGGGGCCCAACTTTTGCAGACGACTGTATATCTGATTAGTCATTTTAAAGTTTGGAATCACTTCAATAACTTATACAGCATAGCTTGAAATGTTATTAACTAGACACCAACATAAATCGATGGTTTATTCGTTACTCAATTCCAAACAGCACAGTTGGAAAAATGTAAACAAAAACAAACAGCAAGGATTTGAAAATCCCTTTTGACCAGTATTTAAATTAAAACAGTACAAAGACACAATATTTAATGTTTCAACTACTTCATTTTAACTTTAAATTAATGATCCAAAAAAATTAGGATGGTCGCATTTACCGCTATTTTACGTCACCTATTCAACGTTCAGTAATTGTTTGGCAACTGAGACATCAATTGTTGTAGCTGTGAAATTGGATTTTTTTCCGTTCTTCCTTGATATAACACTTGATATAACACTTAACTCTCCGTTGTCATATACTACAATTCATAACGTGCCACAAATTTTCAAAAGGAGGCAGATCTGGACTGCAGGCAGGCCAATCTAGCACCTGCACTTTCTTACGCTGAAGCACTTTCTTCTGCTAAAGCCACACTGCACATACAGAATGTGGTTTGGCATTGTCTTGCTGAAACAGGCAAGGGCGTTCCTGAAAAAGACACTGTCTACATGGCAGCATATGTTGCTCAGCATTTATGGTGCTTTCATGGATGTGCAAAGTCACTCACTAATACATACCTATACCATGACAGATGCTGGCTTTTGAATTTTGTGTTGGCAATAATTGGCGAAGATTCTTTCTCTGGATAGACAAAGCACTTTTTGTAAGTCGCTCTGGATAAGAGCATCTGCTAAATGATGTAAATGTAATGTAAATGTATGGTCCTTTTAAAAGCTGGACTTGTTAGACCATCAGCCCTTCTCGGATGAGCTTTAGCCCAGAGAAGTTGGCAGTGTTTCTGGATGTTGTTGATATATGGCCTCTGCTTTGCACAGCAGAGTATTAACTCTAAGCAAGAAACCGTGTTCACTGACAAGGACTTTTTGAAGTACTTCTGAGCCCATGTGGTCATATTTAATACAGAAACAAGATGGTTTTTAACCATATTTACCATATCAACTGAGTTGATATGGTAAATATTAGTTGATATGGTATTAAATATCTCTTCTTCATTCTGTTTTCAGTAAAATATCAGTAAAAGACAAAACACTGCTGTCTGTTTTTATTTGCAATTTACCTACTGTCCCAACTTGTTTGGAACTGGGTTTGTATTTTTACCACAACAAGAACTTTGAATGGCATGGCAAAATATAGTACATCATTAAATAATACACTGTAAATATAATGTAACTAATAAACTATAATTTATGATTATTTTTTATTACAAAAACACTATGAATAGCTACTTGATAAACAAGATCTGGTCGCATCTTTTAAAATATGTGCCATATGAATAGTCTCCATCATGAAAAAAAAAAGTTGTTTGAAACCTACAGAATATTAGCATCATATTAGAATAATTTAATAAATGTATCTGCAACAAAGTTGGTTTTATATTATTGACAACAGCAATTCTAAACTTTTGAACAGTGTACACTGAATGTGCCTTAATGTACAGTATCAGTCAAACACTTGATTGTATGCTATTCACAACTTCAAAGACACTTTAATCTAAAAGCCTACAGTTAAAGCTTGGAATTTGTTTCTAAGACAACTATAAATAGTGAAACTGATGCCTTAGTGATAAACAATAAATAAATCAATATGAGCATGTGTGCAGTACCTGCGAGCCCCAGCAGTATGGTCACCACTACTTTTCCAGCAGTATTCATGACAGTAGAGAGGAGCAGTCTTAGACCAGCTGCAAAGACAATAAGCTTCTGCACAAATTGAGGAGGAGTCGCTGGGGCTGCTTTGCTCTCTTCAGAACTGTCTGAACACGACCTGTCACTCTCCTCCTCATACTCTGAGTCAGATGTTTCATCATCCTGCATGAGCAAATAATGAATGAAAAGTGAGTGAAAAAAGCGCTATAATTGCTCACATTTGCTAAAACTAAAACCATTTTTTGTACCTAGGAAATGGTACACTTTATGAATTTTTTTTCACCAGTATAATGTTGATTTTGCATTTGATGTGGTCCTGCAAAATTTGACCTGACACCTCTGACTTTTAAATGATTAGCCAAGCGACAAGCTAAGTTAGCAAGATAGCTGGCTATCTACAGATTTGGGAACAAGATACTAGGTTGCAAGTAACAAGTAAGCCTCAAGTCTTGACACTCAAGTCCTGAGTCAAGTCCCAAGTCAAGACAGTCGAGTCTGGATTCAAGTCCCAAGTCAATACAGGTGAGGCTCAAGTCGAATCCAAGGAAAATCTTAAGTCAAATCCCTAGTCCTAATGTTTGAGTCCTAAACAAGTCAGTATGCATTCTTTAGCAAATTTAAGGCCATTTCAACAGAGAACACCAAAAATGGATGGTAACAGTAATACAGCATTTTAATGGTGGCCTGTTAGTAGTGTATAGCTGTATATATGTATTTTTTACCCTTTAAATAAAATACAAAATCCATGGCACACAGATAACATGACAGACAAAATGGTGCACCCAAAAAGTAGTGCAATCCAGTGAATCCATTCATTTAAACAGTAACTGCAGTCAGACGCTTCTCCGCGTTCCTTCCACTTTGAGTATCCAGTCTTTCCAAGTCATAAGGCTTAAGTCCAAGCCAAAGTCTGAGTCACTGGTGTTGAAGCCAAAGTCGAGTTGTAAGTCTGTTTTGATTTTGTCGAGTCAAGTCTCAAATCATCAAATTCATGACTCAAGTCCAAGTCATATGATTCGAGTCCACATGTCTAGCAATCTAGACGCCTTACCGCAGCTTGGCTTCTTTTCACTGGTTTTCTTTGTGCTGAATAAATATAGAATCACTATTTTCTTTACAATTTTGTTCAACGATCAAAGTAAGAGTTACACTAATTCTAGCCTGGCTGTATTTATTAGCCTATAGCTTAGTGGCTAGACTAGCATTCAGGATAGGTTGACACTGCAAGGATTCCCAGTGGTTGTGTGATGTCTTTGTAAAATGCATGCTGGGTATTGCAGTAAGAGAACATTGATAAAAGAAAACTAAATTGTGAATTCTGGAAAAACAATGAGGCTGAGGGAAAGAATGCTGCACTACAGAATACTGCTAACATGGCAAATAAAATTTAACCACTTTTCATGGAATATCAGAATATCTCTATTGTGACAAAAACTAAACCTTAACCTGTACACTTTTTATTGTAGTCAAATTTTAGTCAATAATTAAATTCTACATGACCATTTGCCAACCTCTCATTAAACAGGCTGTTTTTTACTGTGCCTTAAAGACTGATGTATGTAAAAGAACTCTGTTCTGATTGGCTGTCCTGTATTGTGCTTAATTCAAAAAGCAGTCTGAACTAAAACACTCCTTATAACAAATCATTCAGCGTGAATGGGCAGGGCTAACTTGCTAAAGGCCTAAAAAGGCAGATATGTGTAAAAGCATGTGTGACATCACAAAGAAAATATTCAAAATGGGCTGTTTTTGCAGCTTAGTTATTGTAAATGGACTATATGGACTTAAGAGTGAACATTTTGAAACTTTAACAATGTTTAAATAGGAACATCAAACATCTCTTCCATTTCAAAAAAGGACAGAATTTTTTTGTTTGTAAGCAAATGTTTGTATTTTTAATTGCTGGCCTCTCCATATGTGGAATTAACATTTTCATTTCCACATTAATACTGACCTCCTCATAAGAGTGCACTGTAAACAGTGGTGGATAGTTGCAATACAAGTGTAGTACATTTAAACTCTGACAAACATCATTTTGTAGGACAATAATTCACGGTATTGCTTAATACCATAAAGCAATATTGATGTACACTAAACTAAATGGAGATGTTGTTAGCACAGCTAAATAATAAATAGTTTTTTATAGGATGTCTGCTTTGTTCCACCTTTGCTGAATGAATTTCTGTGTGTGGTGCATTGTGCTGTACCTCAGTGTCAGAGAGCTGAATGCTGTGCTCATGGTCATTAATAGATGGTGGTCGCAGTAGCTTGTTACACAAACGCCGGATGAAGAAGGTCGACAGGAACAGGCCAAAGTCCGGCATCAGGAGACGCAGTACGTTCCCAGCATCAACATCACTAAATCTATGAACATTATGAATAATAACAAATATTATAGTGGCAAGTGGCAATTGTGGGAGGCCAAGCACTTTAATATTACATTATGTCAACTGTTGATGTAAGGCTTGCATTAGAGTAAAGGCCTACTACTAGATGGCGATATGGCCAGAACTGTAGGTTCTGGTGGTTTCTGTATACAGTAGGAGCCAGCAGTCTGAGACTACTAGTGAAAATGCTTCTATTTTGGGTAACACTTTATTTAGATTGGTCTTTTGTGGATGATTAATAAACTCTTGACAGATTATCAGTAACATATCAGTAAAGTAGCAGTAGCGAAGCATCTGAATACAGTGAAGTAAATATCTTGTAGATGTTCTGTTGATACATTACTTAGATTAAGTAGATGTATTATTAATATGTTACTTCCACTACGCAAAACCTAACCTTACCCAACCTTACCCTAAACCTAACCCTAACCCTGGCCCTAATTCTAACCCTCACCTCAACCTCAACCCAAAACCTAATCCTAATCCTCATATGTTTTTGACATGTTACTGAGAGTCTGTTGAGAGTTTGTTTCATCTACAAAGGATCACTCTAGTGTCACCCTATTTTGCTTTCTTTTCTAATTTAGTTCAAAGTTTTTTATCATAATTTATATTTTCACTCAATCTGAGTAAATCTTCACACAAAAGACACACATAAGAATTTCTTACGTTTGATATGCCCCCACCCATTTTTCATTTACTATCAACATGCACTCAGGCTGGCATGACTCAGATCACTAACAGGGACAAAATAAAATCTGATAAGTAGTTCAAATCCACTTAAGAGTCATTTGAACATGAGTTTTAATGAAAGGAATAAGACTCTTTCGTCCATGAAAATCATAAAAAGTGATGTTCCCAGTGAGGCTACCTGCACAACTTTAAATGTGTTCATACCTCACAATACCAAGATGATAGAGGATGTTTTCCCAGGGTCCACTTACTAAAAGAAACACAGAAAAAAGATAATAATAGATAAATTACTGAATTTTCTGATAATTTCAATGAGAATTTAGTAGTCTGTAATTGTAGAACTACAAAGTGCACCTGGATGGTCAAAGAGTGTAGACACAAGAGTACTTGTGAAGTGGCTGGTCGGTCTATATATATATATATATATATATATATATATATATATATATATATATATATATATATATATATATATATATATATATATATATATGTGTATGTATATGAACTTACTCTCTTTAGGGACGTATGCGTACGTGATCTGTATTCCACACTGTAGGGCCAGAAACATTACACCTGTGGAGCAAACAATTAGGAGGAACCTGCCTGTATTTCCTGGAGAAGAGACAGACAAAAATGATCAGATATGATACTGAGCAGCTGAAACAGGCTATGCTTAGTGTAACAAAGAACTTGGACAACATGTAGAAAAGAGCAAAAATATAAAATAGTTCAAAAAATGTTAATGCAGACTTAGCTTCTCTTTTTCCTCATGTCTAAAACAATAATCATGTCCAAATCCTCTGTGGGCCATTAGATCACACTTTAATTAGTTTATGAGTCTCTGTCTCTCTGCAGAGAGCTTAATGGCTCAGGATTATGAGGGCTGAAGAGAAAAGACAGCCATGCAACTAGACTTATAGACTTTCTGCTTGCATCTCCAGGATGTGGTCAAGCATTTACTGACATATTTGACTGGTCTGAGATGCCGAGATTACCTACTATTCCTGCATCAGCACTTCAGTGAAAATGAAAGTGCACTCTTTAGAGATATGGACACAGCTCATATGACAGTAAAATTTATTACAAAATGTTCACCAGAAATATTGAACACTAATATTGACTTTTAATTCAATCAATTACGCTTAACTTTTAATATCAGCTTTTAATAATTTATAGATTTGCATACCAGTTGCATACAAGTATAAAAAGCTGCACATTTACAACCAAATTAAAAAGCAAACAAATACCAAATGAGTAAAGTTAGTTTATTGTTTTCTATTAAGTATTGTGTATTGTAAAACTGTCAGACATTGTAATCATGTACAAACCTAATTCCATAAAAATTGGAACAGTAGGCAAAACACAAATAAAAACAGAAAGCAGTGATTTTTTAAACTGTCTTTTACTAGTATTTAATTAAAAAATCAGCACAAAGAAGAGATATTTAATATTTTACCATATGAACTTTATTGATTTTTGTACATAAACACTAATTCCAAGTTTGATGCCTGCAACCCTTTCCAAAAAAGTTAGGACAAGGGCAAAGTAGGACTAGGAAGTTTTCACAGGTAAACAGGTGAATAGGTAACAGATGATGGCTATCATGACTGAGTATAAAAGGAGCATTCATGAAAGGCTCAGTCATCAGTCCAACAGTCCAACGGTTTAAGAACAATGTTTCTCTATGCACAGCTGCAAGGAATTTAGGGATTTAACCATCTATAATCTGTAACATTATTAAAATATTCCAAGAATATCCAAGCATCAGAGAATCATTTATCTTGTTTGTGAGGATAAGCCAGCAGTACTGGCTTCTGGGATGGATGCATTTTGAATTTAATGTATAGAGGACTCACCCAGGAGTCTTATTTTCTTGATAATTAGCTCTTGAGAAAAGAAACTAGGCGAATATTTGAATAAAGTGCACACTTTCATTGTAATATTTTGTAATATACTCAAATACTGGTATTTGAATCACACAGCAAAACTATGTGAAGAATTTTTATTGTTAGCAGTAGTAATAGATAACTGAGAATTCCAGATTATTTTGAAAGAACAGTTATAAATACATAAAAACTAAATGAAGAGAGGAAATGTGGATGCTGTTTAGTTAACATTTACAGTACTATGTAAGGCTCCCTTACCAAAAAAAGCAGAACAGAACCAATGACCAAACAAGTGCCAAACAAGCGCAGTCATCTTTATATTAAAGGGCTTAAGCACTGCAGTCCTACTATAATATCCATCGCTATGCAGTTTTGCTGACACAGTCTGATCTTGTCCTGCTTTGACTTTGTCAGCCACCTGAGGAACAGTTGCTCTTCTGTTTTTCTTTACATATTGCACTATATAACACACAAGCATCATAAACACTGAATAAAAGCTTTGGAATTTCAAACTCTTTTTACTGATGTTTTTCCCACAGATCTAAAGGCAGACTTTTCTTTCCTACATTAGTCACTGTTCCAACTGAAACACTAGTCCATTAAGCAGTCTTTGTGACTGAATCCTGTGCCCCAATAATGAACCCTCCTTCATAGTCACACAGATCTTTTCCTCTTGCCATCTTAATCCAAAACTAAGGTAAGGTAGGCCTGCTCAGCACTTTTAAACATGCTACTGAGCAGGGTAGGATGTTAACTGCTTAATTGTATCATGCAGTACACCTGTCTGGAAGCATCAGTACTCATTATGTTTCTCCACCCATTTATTCAGGTTTTCATTTATATATATACATTATATATATACCCCACAATAGTTTTCACCTATGAACTATTGTTATGACATTTTGTATTCTCAACAAAAAAAAAATGTTCTATGGAGTGGAAACAGAAGAACTATTTTTGTTGCCTTAAGCCCAAAGCACACATACACCAACAAACCCAGTGATGACATACAACCTAAAATCTATATGTACAGAAATGCAGGAGTAACAAGACCAGAATCCAAACAATGTATTGGTTTATGAGCTCAAAGACAACAATACCAAAACAAGCAACATAACATTAGCTAAACATAATATTAGCTAGCTAACTATCTAGCTAGCAGTAATATTTCTAGCATTAGCTCTCTAATTAGCTAGGTACTTGCCTCACAAGGCTAACTTATGAAATAAAAGACTGCACGTTGCTATCAATTGAGAATATACTGCAAGATGTGCTTGTAAATGTTGACAATATTTCATGAAAGTTGAAGGTTTCATGAAAGAACAATGCAAAAAACCACAGGACAATTTCTGCTTTATCATTTCATGAGACAGGATTTTGTAAGTATTTCATCTAACAACTTTTTGTGAGGGAGGTTTTAGAGGTATTAAACACACCGGATGCCTGGTTCCTATCACCACCACTGAGAACAATTCTGACTGGGCGAAAGAGAATTTCACCTTAACCACTCTGAATGACATATGCCAAAATGAAGAGGAATAGGTGAAAATCCCCTTTAAGAAGATTCCTAAGTCAATAACAGTTCACTTATTGATATTTAGGCATATTATATAAACTGAACATGTTCAGTGTTAAATACTCTTCTGAAAATATTTTGTTTTATTTGAACCTGATTACATTTTACTTCATTGCTGATTTTTTTTAAACAATGATCTGTACTAATGGATATGAAATAAAGATCATCTCCTACCCAAGAAATAGAGGCAAAATTATCATTCCCAGTGTATGAGTGGGAGAGGGCTGTTACTACAGGGAAAAGTGTTTTGTTTTTGTTTGTTTAGCACAAAACCAATTCTATTCATATACAGCATTAGCTGAAACAGCAAATGTGTTTCCGATAACCGGATTTTCACTAAAAGCTTCATGTCATTTTTCCACTGAAGGCCCGGTCAATGCATCTCAATTATAATGCTGTTTAATCAGCCTTCATCTCCAAGACTGTGTGTGTGTGTATGTGTTTAAGTGAGAGAGAGGGGGAGAGAGAGGGGGAGAGACAGAGAGAATATGAAACTAGAGCGGATGAGAAGAGAGAAAGCAAGTAGTGGTGGGCTCTTTTCAGTGAGTCAGATCAATTGGCTCAGCTCACAAATAAGGGCCAAATATTTCTGCTCCCCAATGACTTCATTCAGTAGCATTGTCATTTTTTTGTTCCTAAAATTATACAACATGGCAACATTTATTGTTTCATTTTCAATTAAACCTTAGTTTTCCTTTTTCTTAACTAATTATCAGAATTTGCATTATATTTGTTGTTTGGAAAAATTAAATTATGTCATATGTTGACATGTTGTTTCAGTGGATACATTTCGAGAGGGAGAGATCACAAGATAAGCAGCCAGGCAAAACATAGACAAACCAGTCATTAACAAACAATCAGAAGGGCTAACGAGAACTCCATGAAAACCACCAAGAACAAAGCCAGAGATAACAAGCAACGGGTGCTGGGGATGATGAGGGGGCGGTGCAGGAATGTTCCAAGAAGATCCAGGAGGAGATTCTGTGATTTTCAGCTACAGCGTCATAAGAACTGCCGTTTGTTTTATCTAAAAAGGAAATTCCATCTTATTTTTTCAAACTTTCTGTGTAATTCATTTGTTCCGATGTAAACAAAGTCATTCAGAGTGGTTTGATGTCAAATTGTTAATTGTAGAGAATTTTACCAACTCACAGTTGTGGTGATAGGAACAAGGGGTCATGATGTCTACAATGTCTACAAATATAGCCATTCTATTTACTCTCTGTAAGCTTACATGTGTCTTCATATGTAATGTTGATGGTGATATAGTGGTAAATCTAAAACAATGTTTTTTGGGGGGGACTATTTTGCCATTCAACACCCTGCATGTACCCCTCCGCCATGAGGTCAAAAGCTTTTGCACAAAACTATTGTTAAACAATGTTTTAGGCATCAGGCAGCATATTATAACCCTTTGATGTAATGACTTTATGTGAAGCAGTCTTTATAGGCATTACAACTGATGTATGGTTCCCATCACCACTACTGTGAACCATTCTGACCCACTAAGTTAAAATGGAGCTAAAATAGAGCATTTCACATCAGACCACTTTAAATGACTTTATTTAAATCTTTCTTTACACTTCTGACAAACTTTCAGAATTTAACAGAATTTAGTGTTGTGAAGCGTTGTGTGGCATGTTTGTAAATCACATAGCCATATCCAAAAGTTTTGATAAGTGAGTGATGTTTTACCCATTTTCTAAACTAAAGACACAAGAAAAGAGGTGTAGGACGTGGATTAAACAGTGTGGAAGACTATGATAGCTGTAATTGCTACAACATCACACAGAACGTTCACGTTTGATGCTTAGGTACTTTTAAAAGCAAGCACTGCAGTATATTAAATCAATAGTTTACATACAGTATCTCTACTTTAACTCAAGTATGCAATTGGTGTACTTTGTCCACCACTGGACAAAGCACAGTCCAGATAACAGCTTAGACTATAAGAGTTGACAAGGTAAGTCTCTAAAACTGTAACATCTAACCAGTTAATACAAATAACATATACAATTCAAATTCAAAATGTATCTTACATCGATTCTGGTACACTCTTTAAAAATATGGCTCTTTAGGGGTTCTTTTGTAAAGACAATGGCTCCATATGAAACACTCAAAGAACCCTTTGCATGACATGATAAAATGGT